TGTGGCCAAAGAGCTAATGCGATCCTGGGATGCATAAAGGAGAATCTCAAGGACGAGCAGAGAAGTTATTTGACCTCTGAATTTGGCACTGGTGCTACGGCTGCTGGAGTTCTGTGTCCAGTTCTGTGCTCGCAATTCAAGAAGGATGGTGATAAATTGGAGAGGGGTCAGAGAGGAGCCACCAGAATGATTAAAGAATTAGAAAACCTGCCTTAGAGTGAGAGACTCAAAGAGCTCAGTCTATTTAGCTGAACAAAGAAGGTGAAGGGGTGACTTGATCACAGTCTATAGGTACCTACATGGGGAACAAACGTAATAATGGGCTCTTCAGCCTAGCAGAGAAAGGTCTAATGTGAGCCAGTGGCTGGCAGTTAAAGCTAGACAAATTCAGATTGCAAATAAGGCGTGAGTTTTTCACGGTGAGAGTAAGTAACCTTTGGAACAATTTACCAAGGATCGTGGTGGAGTCTCCATCGCTGACAAGTGACAATGTTGAATTCAAGATGGGTTGTTTTTCTAAAAGCTCCGCTCTAGGGATTATTTGGGGCAGGCCTCTGGCCTGTGCCACACAGGAGGTCAGAGTAGATGTAGCTGTGTGGGTCCCGAGATGGGTTGTAATTGTTTGTGACACCCCACATGGGTTCTGGTGAGGGGTTCATGTACATCATGAAACGAGCTCTCTGGTGACCTGCTGACAACAGCCGCCCCAGAGCTGTTCAGACTCGACCCCGCGGGCAGTGAGGCCAGGCCCCAGCCTCGCTGTAACCCTGCCCTGGCTGGGCTGACGCCAGGGGGTGGGTCCGGGACGCGTCCTTGCGTTGTGCCAGGAGGGGCCTGTGCTCCTGGGGAGGGATCGCACCCAGGGATCAATGGCCCCTGCTTTGTTTTCTGGAGCCTCCCCCCGGGCTGTGGTTCTGTGGGGCTGTGTGCCATTCACTGCCTGTCAGGGTTGTTCTCCAGGCAGGACAATGCTGCGATTGTGCAGCCCTGCTCCCAGGGCGGGTCACTTTCTGCAGACACATTCACATGGAAAAGTTCCCTGACAAAGAGGGAAGGAGAGAAAAGCTGCGGGGGGACCAGCCCCCAGGGGAGAGCACCTTCAGCCAGGGACTCTGCACAGCGGCTCAGGAATGCAGCTCCAATTTGGAGACTAGGACTCGCTGTTCACAAACCCTGTCCTGGCCACTCCCTGCCACTTGACTTGCCATTTTCAGAGCAGTTTTGCTTCCACGGAGCTTGGGCCCTGCAGAGAGAAGATGGCAGCCCCAGGCCAGCCCGACGGGGAGGGTGTGGGTCTGTCCAGTGAACTACACGAGCCCCAGGCCTCGGGCTCCCCCTCCAGCCCAGCTCGCCGCAAAGCCTCTGTCTGTTCTCCTTCTGCAATAGCTTTTGGGGCGTATGTGGTGCATGACAGCATTTGGGCCACTGAGAGTCCCAGCCACAGCACCGTGATGTCCCGACTGTCCCAGACACCAGCCCAGACCTCAGGACAGCCACACGGGCCAGGGAGCCCACCGCAAGCCGCATCCACTGCATGCGAACCAGACACTGTCGGCTGCAGGAGAGGGGCTGAGAGGCCATGGGTGCTGTGAGCGGAGGAAGGAGCTGGTGCTCCAGGAGCTCCGGCATTGGCCTGGAGTGCTAACGGCTGCTCCTGGGGTGGCAGAGTCACTCTGTTAACCTTTCTGAGTGCCAGTTTCCTGGCAGTCTCCGGGGAAGGGGATTGACATGCAGCACCTCCAGGGTTGTTAGGTGTCAGCGGCAGGAATGGAGGCCATTGCTGGCCCCTGTGCTGGGCCCTGTCCACTAGACCTTGCTGCCCCCAGGCCCCTAGCACTGGGCAGTGGCAGCTCACGCGGGTTTGTTCTCGCCCACTGTGAACGCTTTTCAGCCTCCCCATTCTGCGGAAAATCAAAACCCCATTAAAGGAACGAGCAAAAACGTGCTCAACTTTAGGGGTGGGGCTGTGACCATGGACGTGAACAGCGCCACCTGCTGGCTGAACATCCTCATCCACTGCGCTCCCTCGCATACTGCTACTCCCCGGGGAGCCCATGCCTTGGGACGCGGGGCTGCCCTCCAGCTGCCCAGCCAGCACCGGGGAGACGAGCTGCTTCTTGCCAGAGTTCAGAGAGGAGGCCAGCAGCAATAGGCAAAGGACAGCCGTTCCCTCCCCCGCCCCCCCAGCCTCAGCCCCCTCCCAGGCCTGCGCCTCTCTGCCACGTAGGGGCTACGTGACAACAAAGCTGCACCTGGGTCTGTGCGAGAGGGGGCAGACACTGTAGAGCAGGGGGAAGGTTGCAGCAGTGCTGGCTTTCCCCAAGGTGAGAGCTGCAGCCCCAGGGGCGGTGACCCACTGTTCAGCATCGCCATGTCCTCCTGCCATCCCCCAACGCATACACTGGACCCGGCCCCCAGTGTCAGCCCAGCCAGGGGCCTGGCCTCACTGCCCGCGGGGTCGTGTCTGAACAGCACTGGGGCGGCTGGTCTCCCAGCTGGTGTGGCTCAGCATTGCTCCAGTGGGCCAGCCAGCCGCCGGCAGCCCAGGAACTGGTGTGTATGACTTGCATGGCAGTAGCTCATTTCAAGCAGGGGAGAGCCGGCCCTCTTGTGCGTCGCTCTTTTTTCTGTGGCAGTGGCCAGCAGGCCTAGTGCTAGTGAGAACGGAGACAGAGGCTTTGCTGCCTGGCTCCTCCGTGCAAAGAGAAACCAGCCAGAGGGAAGCTGGGGCGGTGTTAGAGATGGCCACAGACAGCACTGACAGGTGGGAACTCCCCATGCCAACGGTGGGTTTTAACTCCCACCCAGGACTCGCTCCAACACCGTTCTCGGCTGTATCAGCAGCAGTCACCTTGGTCGGCCACACACCGCCCCAGCACCCCCAGCCATCTTTCAGGCATCTCCTTCCCCTGGAGCTGTGGCTGAGTCCTCTGTGCAGCATGGCGGGCTCCCGGGACCAAGAGCTCAGGCTGCTCCTTGGGCTTGTTCCCCCAGCCAGCGTGCCAACTCTCTGATTCCCTTGCCCCTGCAGCTCTGAGCTCCCTCCTCACCCCACCCTGCCAGGGACACACAGGGCACGGTGCACACACCCCTGCGCCCGCGGCCCTCGCTTCTTCCCTCGAGGGCAGCAAGATGTCAGAGCAGGATTTTCTCTCCAGTGTGTTTTTCCTGCTTGCTCTGCAGTCGTGCTCTACTTGGCTGGAGCGTCGGATTTGGATCCCCCATGGTTTGGTTGAAAGTTTCCCTACAAATTCCATCCGAGGCAGACAGCTGGCGTGGAAAGTTTCAGCCTGAATGGTTAGAGTTTGACGAAGTTGTAAAGAAATGAAACCAGGGTCTTACGTTGGGAAGTGTTGGGCACCTTAACCCCACGTGATGCTGCCCAGTCCCGCTTTAATATACAGTGTTGCTTGGTCATGTTCTGGTGGCTTCTGCAATCGAAGCCGAGGGGAAGGGGAGCAACTAAAGGGCTTCTAAGCCAGTTAAAGGGGTGTGACCCAGGAGCACCACACTCAGCGCTCACTGTCCCAGGGCTCATGGGGTCCCTGAGGGCCCTTTCCTTGCACACCCCAACTCCCATTGACATCAGGAACTTAGAGTAGCTGCCCTGGTCTCTTGTGCCCTGAATTAAAATCCTTCAGTCCTTGACAGTAAAAAGGAATAATTTATCTCAAAATGTGAGTCCAGGGGAAAACACAGTGTCTGAGTCTTACTGTCGGGACTCCCAACTCCTTGCCCAAACCGCTGTCTTCACATCCTTCAGCCATTCCCATCGCTGCATCCCAACTTAGTTCTCGTAACCCCGGCGATGACAGTCTGTGGGGCAGCTCCTGGTTTCAGTGATATCGGTGATGTAGATCCTCCAGGGCCAAGTAACCCTGATTTACAGCCATGGAACTGGGAGCCAAATCTGCCCCTTGCAGATGATTCCAGGCTCTCACGAAGATTGGCTCAGGCGGGACCCGTTGCTGTTATGGACCCTGGGCAGTCCAGCAGTGCTCAGCACTCTCTGGGCTGCCCTCCAGAGCGGCCATTTTTGGCCAGTGTGTTAGGAAGTTCGGAGCTCGCAGATCCCAGCTGGCACCATGACAACCTGCCATCGTCTTGGGGATGTGTCATGACCCTGTCTGTGGTGCTTCTATCCCTTTGAGCCAAAGAGAAGGGATCGATGGGGGTTGCCCTTGGGCCAGTGTCCAGCGAATGCGAGCGGCGCATGCCTGGGGAGGGGTATCCTGCGCCTGACTTAGCTTGGAAGTTCTTTGGTGTGGGGACTGTCTTTTTACGTTGTTTCTACAGCCCCTAGTACGATGGGGCTCAGGCCCATGGCTGGGTCTCCTATGTCCATAGGCACCGACTCCATGGGTGCTCTGGGGCTGGAGCACCCACAGGAAAAAATTAGGGGGTGCTCAGCACCCACCAGCCCCCTCCCCCATCCGCACCCACCAGCCCCCTCCCCCATCCGCGGTTCAGCAGCGGGAAGGGGCGGAGCGAGGGTGGGGCCTGAGAGGAAGGGGCGGGATGGAGGCGGGGCCTCGGAACGGAGCAGGGGTGGAACACCCACCCCGAAAGAAGAAAGTCCGCTCCTGTGCCGAGGTCTATGGCAATGCAGACAATAATACTGTTAATAATTAATATCCTGCTGCTGAGGACTGAAGGGGCTGGGGGGAAGATGGTGGGAATTGCTCTCCTCCAGCGGCCCTCCCAGAAATGGCAGCTTGTCACCAGAGATTAGCTCAGGCAGCCGCCATCTCCCACAGAAATGCTGGAGCTGAGCTGGAGGAGGGTTGGGGGACGTTTGGTTGCTGGGATCTCAGAATCTAAACCCACTCAGTCTAGCCCCTGGAAACCCCTCAAAGAGCGGCTTTAGAAAGGGTGTAAGAGAATGACTGGCCAGGGCTTGCCCCTGGTGCTGGTGGGGCAGTGATGTGACGTGGGGTGGCCGCGTGATGGGGGAGCATTGGGAAGTTGGATGATGTCACGTTCTGCCATTTTATCCCTAGGGTCAAAGTCCCATTCGGAGGAGTTCCCGCCCTACATCATTGATCACCCAACAGACTTGGTGGTGCGCTGGGACCAGCCTGCCACTCTGAACTGCCGTGTGGCAGGGAGTCCGGCACCCTCTATTGAGTGGTACCGCAATGGGGAGTATGTGGAAACGAGCAAAGACAACGTTTATTCCCAGCGCACCCTTCTGCCCGATGGATCGCTCTTCTTCCTCCGCCTCAACCAGCGGAAGGGCCAGTCTGACGAAGGGGTGTACACCTGTGTAGCCACGAACCACTTGGGCACAGCCAGCAGCAAGAATGCGTCCCTCTATATTGCCGGTAAGGTGTTGGGAGCTGCTCGCTGGCTTGAGTGCCTGGAAATGGCCGTGCTTACCGGGCAACCGAGAGATTTGACTTTGCTTTCAGTGCTTTGCTGAGCCTGCTAACAATGACCACAGCTTTCCCGCCCGCTCTTTGATTTAACCAAACATATCAGCTGGGGAACAAACAATATTAACCCATGACGCACCAGTGAAAGAGGATAAATAATGCCAACAGCAATTTCCCATGTCCTGCTCAGGGGTAGCCACAGGGGGCCTAACCTGAAGCACCCTCAACTTCTACTGAAGTAAGGTTGGGCCCATCAAGAGTTTTCACACAAGAAATGAAGCGAAAGCTGGAAATTGAGAGTTGTGGGTGGTAGGTAGCTGCAGCCTCTTAGCCCCTGCTTAGGCTGAGTGACACAAATACTTTGAGAGGTCCCCATGTCACCGCTATGAGACACCTGCATGCCAGCTCCCTAAAGCATGGCCTTCCAAGTATGCCCTTGCACTGGGCTTTGGTTGGAGAAGAGGAATGTATTGACTGGAGGGTACTTCTCTTTATCTGGTCTGTGCCTGGATGGGAAGGCAAAGGATCCAATTTCCTGCAGTATCTGGACCTCTGGCCCAGGCACTGCTGTCTGGGTACGTTGTCTCTCTGTCTGGAACCTGAGTAAAGCTCAGGGAGATGCTCATTGCAACTGGACTGGGAAGGATGTGCTGAAATCCACAGGCAACTCTCCCAGTATTTATAAGGTAGCTTTCCAAGGCCCCCATGCCATGGGGATGATGGTTATTCACTCAGTGCCCGCAGAGTTGGGGACTCTTTGCAGGTTAGTAGGAAGTAGAGCTGAGTGACTAATGAATTTTTTGGTTCAGGGGCTGTCAAGGCTGATTCCCCACTCTGGCACTTCAAGTGTAGAAGGTGGGGGCCCGCAAGTATTCTAAAAATTAATACTGGCCACTCCAGACTTGTATTAAACTCCCAAGGTTACAGCTTCTCTTTGATCTTGGATGGGTAGATGCTGCCACCACCCAAGTGCAAAAAAAAAAACCCTTTGGACCCAGGAGGGCACACTTGGGAATTCCTCCTTCTGGGGTACCCTCAAGCCCTTTCAGCCCCCACTCCGGGGAAGAGAAGAGAAAGAAAACAAAGGCAATCAGTTGTTGCCGCCAGCTAATGAAACAATATGGGCACAGACCTCCTAGGTCACAAAAACCCAATCCTGGTCTTAAAAAAGGTAAATTTTATTAAAAACAAAAAAGAAGAAAATATATTTGGAACTTAGGCTTTTTGCTAGATTTAAAAAAAAAACAATTAAGCATCAAGATAGCTTGCTTGGGGTCCAGCTTAATGGTTACAAACAAAACAAAAGCATCTGGGGTTAGCACGCAGGAGTCCACAAGCCTTACAGAAATAAAAGAGAGAAACCTAATTGCGACTTTCTAGACATTTCCTGATCTACTTACATATCTGGGGTTTCAAGTAAGTAGTTCCTAGGTATGATTTGATGATTTTTTTATACCTGGCTTAAAGCTTTTTACAGCATTGCTGCTCTGTGTCTCCTCTTTCCGGAGAACAACCACAGACAGACAAAAGGGGAGTCTTGTTTTAATTTTAAAAAGTTTTAGCCTTCCCACTGGCTATTTTGGCCAGGTGCCCATTCACTTCCTTTACCTATGCATGCAGTCAGACTTTTTAACCCTTTACAGGTAAAGGTAAAGCAAGTAGAGAACAGCTACCAAGAGGGATTTTATAGCTAACTGGCTTGCTGGGTCCATAAAAGGGAGCTATCTCCAACCCTTCATTTATCACAGAGGCCAAAATGAAAAATCCCACCCCCCCAGTCTGGTTTGACTTGAACCAAAACAATCTTTTTCACTTAATCAGAAAACACACCCAAAAAAAGTGAGTCTCAAATTGACCAAGACATTTTCAGTTGACCAGAAATGTTTTTTGTTTTCGTTGTTTTTTCCTTTAGTCGACTCGGTCGACTCAAAACTTGGTTTTTTTAAATTTTTCATTTCAATTTTGGCCATGTTGTGTGTTTTTTGACCTTTTGCGCACTTGCTTTTTGAAAAATCTGGCAAGATTTAAAATAGAAACACCCTTAAAAATCAAAAAATCAAAATGAGACTTTCAAACCAAATTTCCAACTGAAACCAGGCCCCAAACAAAAATCGAAAAAACTTGTGGCAAAACAATTTGCCAGGGAGATGTCACCCGGCTCTAGCAGTAGCTGTCGTGAGCAGCTTCTAGTCTAAAGGCTGGACTGTGCCCTAGGCTATTCAACTGCAGAGGGAGCTAACGGGTAGTGCCTGACAGTCCCCACCCTGCGCAGGTGTGGGAAGGGCAGAGAGCGGGTGGGGAGTGAGGAAGAGCCATGGGTATTCATTGTCATCATGAATGACTATGGCTTGCTACTATGACATACCCTGGCTAGTCCTTTGGCCAGGAAAAGAGCAGGCAGGCCAGGTGCTCACCTTGGCTGTGGGAGACTCAGATTGAAGCCCCTGCTCCAATGAGGCTGTCGTTATTTATGAAAAGTGGCAAGGCTAAGAAGGCCCCTGTAGCCCAGAGGCTAGGGCAGGGCTGGGCAAACTTTTTGGCCCAAGGGCCACATCTGGGTATGGAAATTGTGTAGCGGGCTATGAATGCTCATGAAATTGGGGGTGTGGGAAGGGGTGAGGGCTCTGGCTGGAGGTGCGGGTTCTGGGGTGGGGATGGGGTTGGGGGTACAGGAGGGTGCTCCAGGCTGGGACTGAGGGGTTCGGAGGGCAGGAGGGGGATCAGAGCTGGGGCAAGGGGTTGGGCCGTGGGAGGGGGTCAGGGGCGCAGGCTTCAGGCAGCGCTTACCTCACGCAGCTCGCAGAAGCAGCGGCATGTCCAGCTCCTCTGCAAAGGCATGGCCAGGCAGCTCTGTGCGCTGCCCCCGTCCGCAGGCGCCGCCCCTGCAGCTCCCTTTGGCCGTGGTTCCCAGGGGCGGGGCGGGGGTAGGAGGCAGGGAGCATGAGGAGCCCCCTGGCAGCCCCTATGCATAGGAGCCAGAGTGGGGACATGTCACTGCTTCCAGGAGCCATGCAGAGGGCGGCAAGCCCCCAACCCCGCTCCCCAGCTCAAGCAGGGCAAGCCCCGGACCCCACTCCCCAGCGGAACCTCGAGGGCTGGATTAAAATGTCTGGCGGGCCGGATGTAGTTCGCCCACGCCTGGGCTAGGGCCTGGCCTGAAGTGGGAGAGACTTCTCCACCTCAGCGGAAGCAGGAATTGACCCCAAGCTCACCATGTCCAGGGAGCGCGCTAACCACCAGCCTTGTGCCTAGGAGGGTGGTGGCTAATCCACCGGCTGGTTTGTGAAGCCAGTCACTGGCTTTTCGCAAATGCCTGAAAACCAAAGCGATCCTGTGTGGGTTGAAAGCTATCGAACTGTTTCCTCTCCTCATTACCAAAACAGTGCAGCCTCCTCAGGTCAGTAGAAACGATTCGGCGAGCTCAATGCCAGTCTAAGAATGGTATCAGCCTTGCGGTGAATAAACCACCCTCTGAAAGGGCCAAGGGATTTCCAGCCCCAACTCAGTCTCTGAAAATGTAGCTAGCCGGGGGCTGCATCTGCCTGGGCCCACGGGGCAGGGCGCTGTGTCTGCCTGCAGCAGCAAGGCGAGCTCTCGCCCATCTCACACCCACAGTCATGGGTTCACTGAAACCCGGTGCCCTCCCATCCCCGCCCACCAATTCCAGCATCACGGTGGTCATTGTCCGTCATGTGTTGAAGATCAGCTGGCTCCTGGCTTCCTGCAATGGGGTAAAGTGACCTGGACTTTCCCATCGCCACGGGACCTGGCAGGTGAAATCCTGGAGGAAAGTCTCTGCTCTGGGCCAGACAAGCCACACCTGCTTGCTGCTCCCCTGCCGCAAACTCACTGCTCCCTCACTGCATGTCTGCTGCTTGCACCCCCATGTAAGGGGACTGTCTGCATTTTTGGCTGTCTGCAGCTGCAGCTCTGGACTGTCACAGCAGGTCCCTCCTTCCCCCACAATATTTCCTCTTGCAAGTGTTGCTCAGCACAATAACCCACATTTCATTAGTGATGCAATGCAATCCTCTCTGCTGGGCAGGCCGAGAGCCTTTCCAATTAACACTTCGTTACCGATCAGGCTCCATTAAGTCTCCGGTTCCCACAGCTCAGACCAGGGCCTTTCTTGGTGTCTGCAGGTTAAAATATTCATACAGGCAAACCTGGGTTGGGAGATGCTTTTATTAGCAACACTAATGAAGCCCTTGGTAAAGTCCTGGCTTGCTGTATGACGTGCTGGCCTGGTGAAGCACCGTCCACTTTCTCCTCCTCGCCAGGCACAGGCATGAGAGGAGCTTGCTGGAGACGGGGCTGGCGTGGCTAAGCCAACGCAGGCCGAACTCAGCCAGGGGCCATAACCTCCAAACACTTTTTAATATAGGTGTAGTTTTGGGGGGCAACACCTCCCTCCTGCCCCCCAAACTATGCCCATGTTTAAAAGTGGGGTGCATGGTCCCCTGCCCCCCCCCCAGTTCTAGTGCTGGTGGCTCCCCACTTCTACAAAGGTTCTGGCACCCTTAGCGAAGGCTGCCTGGTCCTGCGTTCCCCCTGCATGGTCCCACAATCAACAACAGAGCAAACTCTGCAGCTGGCGGATGCAAAACAAGGAAAGGAAGACTCAAGGATTCCGGACTGACCACAGCCACCTCTTGTAATGACTGGACAGCCAGATGACCACGTCGTTACGGGTTTGGGTCGTGTAATAAGAAAACCAGTGTGATTCAGAGACGCTTAACAGACTGATTGATACGGAAGTTCAAAGACAGCCTCATCCTGTACATGGCATGCTAAACTGTGTTATACTGTTCAGCCACTTGGTGGCGCCGTGTGTGACGTACCATATTTCAGCTCCCCTGAGCCATGGGGCAGAGCATCAGAGGGGCTGATGCTGAACACAGTTGCGGGGCTCACTCAGAAGGAAGCTCCATAGCCCGTCCTTACCTGGTACAGGACCATGACAGCAGGGGCTCAGGGAAGAGCAGGAGGCCAGAGGGGGCCTAGCTTGGCTATGGGGCAGCTGGCTGAATAGACATGAGGGACGGGGCCACTTTCCATTCGCTGCTCTGCTATTTCTGGCTCATGGATTTTCAGCCAGATGCTCACAAAACCCTGGGCAAATCCTAGCGAGGAGCAGAAGCCATCCCAGGTGTGTGAGGGCCCCAGCAGGCCCCAGCCTGGGTCCAAGGAGCAGTCCATATGCCCCTCCCCCCACAGGCTCTACCCACTGGCAGGAGCAGGCGGATGTGCCAAAAGAGAAAAGGGGCTCAATGCCGGGGGAGTCGCTGGGCCAGATTCTGCCTCTCAGGCCGGGGCAGCAGGAGGGCTGGAGGCCTTGCCCTGTGGTTTGGCTTATATTTGGTCTCCTTGCAGCGCTGCGGGAAGATTTCCGGCTGCAGCCCAGCAACCTGCTGGTGACGGTGGGGGAGCAGGTGCTGTTAGAGTGTGTGCCCCCGAGGGGGCATCCCGAGCCCACCATCTCCTGGAAGAAGGACGGGGTCCCCATAAGCCAGAAAGCTGGCCATTACGAGGTAAGCTCGGTCATAGAATCATAGAATATCAGGGTTGGAAGAGACCTCAGGAGGTCATCTAGTCCAACCCTCTGCTCAAAGCAGGACCAACCCCAACTAAATCATCCCAGCCAGGGCTTTGTCAAACCGGGCCTTAAAAACCGCTCAGGATGGAGATTCCACCACCTCCCTAGGTAACCCATTCCAGTGCTTCACCACCCTCCTAGTGAAATAGTGTTTCCTAATATCCAACCTAGACCTCCCCCACTGCAACTTGAGACCATTGCTCCTTGTTCTGTCATCTGCCACCACTGAGAACAGCCGAGCTCCATCCTCTTTGGAACCCCCCTCAGGTAGTTGAAGGCTGCTATCAAATCCCCCCTCATTCTTCTCTTCTGCAGACTGAAAAAGTCCAGTTCCCTCAGCCTCTCCTCGTAAGTCATGTGCCCCAGCCCCCTAATCATTTTCATAGCCGTCCGCTGGACTCTCTTCAATTTGTCCACATCCCTTCTTTAGTCGGGGGCCCAAAACTGATGCCATACTCTCCCCCCTCCTCAGACCCTACCCTGCCCACAGACTTTTCCTATCTCCCCACCTCCAGCACCGTGCAGGGGGCATGGTTGCATGCTAGAGCACCAAGCCTCACGGTGTTCGCTGCCTGTAGACGGGTGGAGTCGCCTCAGCCCCCAGCTTCCTGTCCCAGGGTTTGAACAGAGCCGCTTTGGCCCCCTCTTCCCAGGGCTAGGACGGAGCTCCTCGGCCCTGTGTGGGCAGTCAGGCCTGTCACTCTCTAGCCCAGATACGCACTCTCTCACTCTTTCAGCCGTTTCTATGTTGTACTGGACTTGGTGGGGTGCTGCCGTTCCTGTTGCTGGCCCAGTGCATGGGGGCGCAAGCCAAGCTCCCCCCAGATGCCGAGTTCCTGCACTGGGGCTGGCTGTGGCTAGGCGACACGTGGGGCCCTGACTCCCTCTCTCCCTCCTTGCAGGTCTCCAGCGGGAAGCTCCAGATGGTGCGCGCCGAGAGGAGTGATGCAGGGCTGTATGTGTGTGTGGCTTCCAACCAGGCAGGACAACGAGAGAGCAAACCGGCCCTGGTGTCTGTCCTGGGTGAGGAGACAGTCCCCTCCTTGGGCCTTGCCCACTGGGCCTGGTGCTCAGCTGATATCCAAGCAGCTGCCATGGTGTCACGGACCCACAGCTCTGGGACAGTCCCTGGGAGGACCCCTTCAGCGCGTTAGCCCCCTTAGGGTCACTCTCTCACTGGGGTAAGCCCCTTGGCTTCCCTGCCTCCTGGGACCGAACCTCAGAGCTTTCAGCCCCCCAGCTTCATGCCATGAGCTTCCTGGAGCCAGTCCACCTGAGAAGGACTTGCACACTCAAAGTTAGCAATACGCCCTCAGCTTCCTGACACGAGTGACACCCAGCCAGCGATGTGACAGCAGGAACAGAGTGCAGGACGTCCTTAGTTAACACAGCGAATGGGAAGTGACAGCAAAGTCCAGCTGGGTTAGTGCAGAGTCGAGAGCCCCTCTGAGGCTCTGTAGTCCCAGTCCAGAAGCGACTCCCCCACACACACTTCCAGCAAGAAGAAAAGGAGTACTTGTGGCACCTTAGAGACTAACCAATTTATTTGAGCATGAGCTTTCGTGAGCTACAGCTCACTTCATCAGATGTTTACCGTGGAAACTGCAGCAGACTTTATATACACACACAGAGTTTCATATTCTCTGTGTGTATATAAAGTCTGCTGCAGTTTCCACGGTAAACATCTGATGAAGTGAGCTGTAGCTCACGAAAGCTCATGCTCAAATAAATTGGTTAGTCTCTAAGGTGCCACAAGTACTCCTTTTCTTTTTGCGAATACAGACTAACACGGCTGTTCCTCTGAAACACTTCCAGCAGTCCACCTTTAACAACCCACCTGGCCCCTCCTCAGTCCTTTGTCCTTGTTTCCAGGCAAACACAGTCACTGGCCTCCCCCCTAGCCCTTTGTTCTCCAGATGGTCACACCCGACTGGCTTCATAAGGAGGTTGAGCCATCCATGGTCGTTAGTTGCTAGGTGCCAAATAATCAGGGAATTGGAGTGGCCGTTGTCTTCAGGGACTCCCCCTGGGCCCAGGCCCCAGACAGCCAGGGTCAGTCTCACCTGGATCTCTGCAAGAAGTAAACAACCTTTCCTCCTCACCTAGTTAACCATGCAGCACATCGGGGAAACTGAGGCACACACAGTATTCATACAAAACGTTATGAAAAATCCCCACTTTGTCACACATGGGGTGCCAGAAAACTGGCCAGTTGACATATTTCTGACCAGTGAGACCACTGGTTGGACCCACATGGCCTGTGCCCGGCATGCCCAGTGTGGTCACCATCTGAGGGGCATTAATAGCAGGTCAGCACCCATGAGAGGGACTGGTTCTCCTCGACCCTAACAGCAGCTCCCCCTCTCAGGGCAGCAGGAGGTTTGAGGAGAGCACCCATGGAATCCTGCTCCCCAGGGCGACGGGACCAGTTCAGGCTGCCGGGGACCCAGGCGACGCTCCCTGGATCTTGTGAAGCCAAGCGCCCAGGGGTGCTGCCAGCTGCAGGGAATCCCTGGCGACAGGGGCTCCCTGCATGGAAAGGGACATTCCCCTTGGGGGAGGAGATTCCTAGCCAAGTGGTCCCTGGCGTTCCTCTGCCATAATGGCCAGGATGTGCTGGGAGAGCAGGAGGCAGGCGGCCCTGAGGCCCCTCCTTGGTGCCCAGCCTCCTTGACCTAGAATGTCTCCATCCTTTGAGAACCCTTCCTGGGGGCAGCCTGGCCCCTCTGAACACATGGGTCTCTCCCAGGGAGCTTGCTCCATTTGCAGTTTCACTCCATGGCTCCTGATTTGGAGCCTGCACCCCGAGTCCTGGAGAATATAAGAGGCTTCCAAAAACAGTCCCTGGGCCTGATTCAAGCAGCAGGACTCTTGTGACAACTACGCAGAACCACAAGCCAGTGCATGGTTTAGAGACTCACTGGACTGGCTTCCCTCCCAAATTGCTTTCCCTAGAGAAAAGTTCCTGCCTTAGCTACAGATTTCCAGGAAATGGCTCCGTTTGAACTCCAACCTCTCCAGGCTTTCGGAGTTGCTGTGTCACTTCCTCCCAGTTCAGCCAGAGGGGAAACCATTTCCAAGCTTACAGACAGCAGTGTGGACAGGGGCCTCTCCCAGCACCCGCACACACACCTTCTGCCCTGGCAACGGGCAATTGAATGGGAGAGAAATGACTGAAATGGGGAACGCCTGCATTCTGGCACACCACAATTGACAGGCTGTGTTTTAAACTATGAAACCCATTTTTAAGGATGGTTCCTCCCTCAGTGAACTAAACGCGAATGCCAAAGCTTATCACACAGCGTAGTAGCACACGCACCCCCATGGACTGACCCCACCCTGGGACCTACAGCAACAGTTGCCATGTGTGTTGTGGACCTGCTGCTAGAGGGGGGCCTGGCATACACTTTCTCAATGGGTTACACAACGATTTGCTGGACAGCAGTAGGCTGGCGGAGCTCAGGAATCCTGACTCTGAGAGGGGCCTGGGAGGTAGTGGTCAGAGGCAGGCTAACTGCAGTGCATAGGGAAAAGGAGGACTTGTGGCACCTTAGAGACTAACCAATTTAGCGCACAGATTTGGCACATGCGTTGCGGAAGGCAGCGTGGCTGAGGTTGGGGTGGCCGTGTTAGAGGTGTGGGTTCTGTGGACAGTGCTAGGTTACGTCAGGGGCCTTTTCGTTTGGACACATTCAGTCTCTGTCTCCCTTTGGCGGCTGTTCCCTTCAACCTGTGTTCTTACAGGGTACGCGCGCATCGTCTCAACTTTCTCTGCCTTTCACAGTTGCGCTCACAGTAAGGATACATTTGTAGACCCAGTTATCGCAAACTCCCAACGCAGGCAATGGCTGTGGAGAGCCACGTCCTTCCCCTTTCTGGCTGTCCTCATTCTCTGCTGGTAGGGCAGAGGTCTCCAAACTGTGGGGCGCTCCGCCCTAGGGTGGCATGGAGGAACATGGGTGGGGGGCATGGCAGGCCTGGGCCAGTTCCCACAGGGGGCGAAGAGGGAGCATCACCCAACTTCCACCCCCACCCCCCCTCCCCAGCTCTGCTCTGGCCCCATCCCCAGCCATAGCCTCGGCTCCCGGCCCCGCACGTGGTCCCATTCCCAGCCTTGGCACGGCTTGGAACCTGGCCAGGGGCCCGGCTGCCTGCCCCCACCATGGCCCAGCTGCTGCTCTGCTCCCAGCCCTGCCCCGACCCCGCCCTCTGCCTCAGCCCCTGGCCGCGGCTCCATTCCCTGCCCCGCTCCCAGCCCCAGCCCTAGCTGCAGCTCCAGCCTCAGCCCCCTTACCCCTGTCCATGTCCTTCCCCCCGCCACTCCCAGCCCCGCCTCTGCAGGGGAGGGGGCACGGACAGGGTAAGGGGGGCATGACCCTCAAAAGTTTGAGGACCTCTATGGTAGGGGGTGGAGACCTCCTGGGGGCACAGGAGTTTGTGGGGCTTGGATCCTGTAGCACGTGGCACTGACTCCAATTCTCGCAGCCCAGAGCTCCAGCTCCCGGCAGGGCGGGGATGCGTCACTGAGATCTCTGCTTCTCCCTCCCCAGAAAAGCCAACATTCACTCGCAGACCCAGTGATATTGTGGCCAAATTTGGCAGCACCGTCCAGCTGGGCTGTGGTGTTCAGGGGGACCCAATGCCCAAAGTATGGTGGCGCAAGGAGCCCGGCGAGCTGCCCTGGGGCAGGTATGTGGTGTACATTCGGAAGCTTCTGAGCTTTGGGGCTGATCTCTCTGTCAGCATTTTCCCTGGTATCCGAATACATGGCACTGAGGCACTCCAAGCACCGACTCATTCCCATAGCTCATTGTTGCAAGGTAGGTAGAGGATGCCAGGCTCACTTAACAACACTGCACAGGCCACGGGGGAGAGGGGGAACTGTGTGCCTGTTTGATACTGCACCCAGCAGGATCAATGGAGGCAAACCCAGCCTGTCACCTGTTCCCGTTCTCCTGGAGGTGGACAGAGTGGGGTACACCCTGGTATTGTTACCGGGGCCGCTGGTCATGAGTACGAGCAATTCCCACCCCTTGGAATAGCAGTTCCACTGACTCTGAGGAGGCAGAGGGAACCACATTTCAGTGGTCGCTGCAAATGCAAGATCCCAGGCTCCGGCCCAGGGGCCCAGGCAGCTGGGAGCCCCCTGTGTTTGGGGCCCGGGGCCCAGAGCCCTGCTGCCCATGTCCTGCTCACCCATGGTTTATTGTTGTTATTATGAGTCATGTGCATTATGATGGGGCCTAAGGGCCAGCCAGGACAGGGCTTGGCACAAACACTGAGTGGCCGCCAGTCCCTACCCCTGCTCACAGCAGCTGTTCTGTCTTACACGCCCAGGTACGAGGTGGACGAGGAGAACACCTTGCGGATTCATTATGTGACGACGCTTGACTCCGGCAGGTACATCTGCATGGCCCAGAACCAGGTGGGCGCCATCTCGGCCCAGGCCTCGCTCACTGTGCAGGGTAAGCAGCTCCATGCTCCATGAAGCAGCCTTCACAGCACGCCAGGACTGGTCCGTGCCCACGGGCAGCAGCGAGACCGTAGTGCCCTGCACACCCTGCTTCCTGCGTGCCCCGGGAACCGGGGGAGGCAGAAAGCTGTCACCTGCAACTGGGCACACCTAACATCCCTGCCCTACCCACCCACCAGCCCCATCGGCTCTGGCCCTCTCCGAGCAGCCCTGGAACGATTCTCTCCTCTTCTCCCCAAGACTTGACAGGCTGGGGTCCCTGCATCTGGAGAGGGGCAGGCCAGTGCCCTGAATTGCCTGAAACCACCCCACATGAGCGCCAAGAAAACCCCTTTCTGTGCTACTTACGCTTGCAGTACCACAGGCCCAGGGATCGGGGCACAGTAGCACTCGGATGCTCCATCAGGAGACAATGCCCTTGGCTGCTGGGAACTCCTGCCTCTTCCTTGGCAGGGCCCGATCCTGCAGACACACCTGGGAAGCGTGCCTCACCTGGCTCAAGTGACTCAGCTGCTTGAGTGTGTGCAGGATTGGGCCCATCACTTCTTGGCTGGACCAGCCCCTGCCCCCTCCAGCTCTGCCTCTCTGGGGGTTTGCTTCATGGAGGGGGTTGAAGCTACAGCAGAGTCTCCCCCGGCTTGGCTCCGTTCACAATTCCCGGCTTCCTGTTCGATTCCTGGGACCTGTGGTCTCCCCTCTGACTAGGGTTGTCAACTTTCTACTCACACAAAACCGAGCACCCTTGCCTCGCCCCTGCCGCACCCCTCCTCCAAAGCCCGCCCATACCCTGCCCCTTCTCCAAGGCCCTGCCCCCACTCACTCCATCCCCCCCTCCCTCTGTCGCTCACTCTCCCCACCCTCAGGCTGGCTCAGGGGGTTGGGGTGTGGGGGGTGAAGGCTCCAGCTGGGGATGTGGGCTCTGGGGTGGGGCCAGGAATGAGGGGTTTGGGGTGCAGGAGGGGGCTTCAGGCTGGGACTGAGGGGTTCGGAGTGTGGGAGGGGGCTCTGGGCTGGGGCAGGGAGTTGGGGTGCAAGGTGGGTGAGGGCTCTGGCTGGGGGTGCAGACTCTGAGGTAGGGCTGGGGATGAGGGGTTTGGGGTGCAGGAGGGTGCTCTAGGCTGGGATCGAGGGGTTTGGAGGGCGGGAGGAGGATCAGGGCTGGGGCAGGGGGTTGGGGCCTGGGAGGGGGGCAGGGGTGAAGGCTCCGGGTGACACTTACCGCAAGCAGCTCCCAGTAGCAGCAGCATGCCCCCTGCGGCTCCTACATGGAGGCACAGCCAGGCGGCTCTGCGCACTGCCCCATCCACAGGTGCCACCCCCGCAGCTCCCATTGGCCACGGTTCCCAGCCATTGGGAGCTGCGGAGGCAGCGCTTGTGGTGGGGGCACTGTGCAGAGCCCCCTGGCTGCCCCTACGCATAGGAGTCAGAGGGGAGACAAACATACCAGCTGCTTCCCGGGATCCACGCAGCACAGAGGCTAGCAGGGAGCCTGCCTTAACCCTGCTGCGCGGCACTGCCAACCGGACAGTCAATGGCCCAGTCAGCGGTGCTGACCGGAGCCGCCAGTATCCCCTTTCGACCGGGTGTTCCGGTCGATAACCAGACACCTGGTCACCCTGCCACTGGCCTTTCCTGAGGGCTGTTCCCTGCGTCTCCGGCAGGCATGGGGCTCTGAAGGCAGGGAGGCCCCCAAGAGCTGGACGAGCATTAGCCTGGCTTCCCAGACCTGCCAAGGGCCTGGGGCACAGACAATAGCAGATGAGCCCTTCTCACTGATGGGCCACGTTCACCCTGGGCTACAGGAGGGGGCTTGGCCCCAGAAATCCCATTGCTTAGGCCCTCCTGGGTAGTGCCTCTCCCAGCTGCGGGATCCTGGACTGCCGCCCATCCCAGCGAGTGCTGGTGAGGGGAAGGGAGCGAAACAGCGCTCCCCTGATGTTCCCTCTGGCATCCGGCCTCCAGCCCTGCCCCCCATCCCTGCAGGCCTGCGCACCCTGCCAGGGAGCCCTCGCCTGGGCTGGAGTTGTGCCCAGCCACAGGGCAGAGCAGGACTCTCAGCGCGCTGAGTTTGTACCGTGCCTTCCCCTGGTGGCTCTGCCTCCAGCCTGCCCAGCGCAGGCGGGTCAGGCCGGCAACCCCGCTTCAGTGGGCAGCCCCATGCTTCTGGCGTATGCCCGTAACACAGTGCTCCTTTCCGCAGCGGGCTGGCTGGCCTAGGGGGAGGGGTACAGTGAGCCCCACTCCCCGCACCTGCTGGGGGGTCATGGGCCAGCAGCACCTGCCCTCTCCGAGAGCCAGCAGGCAGCTCAGGGATGCAGGGAGAGGGCCTGCCCCCCCCAGTCTCCCGGATGGCCACAGGGCTGAGGTACAATCTAGCAGTGAGCAGGCATTGAAACCATGTAACCCGATAGGCCTGTGGCAGTGACCAGACCAGCCCCGCATGGGGGAAAGCCCCGAGCCCTCCAGATGGCCCCCCTGGCAGCCGGGTGCCCAAGGGCCCAGCATGCCTCAGCCCATGGTACACCGCTGGCTCGGGAGATGAAAGAGCCAGCTCCTCTGATCTGTGTAACTGCCCGGATCCCCAGGTCAGGGACGGCTCCGCCTCTGGTGGGCGCTCTGCCCTGACCTCTATGGGACAGCTCCGACCGGGAGGGGCCCTGAGTCACAGACCCCCTTCCCCACGGGCTGGACATCGCCCTGAACAAGAGAGAGACCCTCCCGCGGTGTAGGGGGGACTGTGCGTTAGAGATGTCCGGGCTGGGGGCCCTGCAGTGTCCATTAGCTGGGTGTCTGGGCTGCCAGCACATGGTAACAGCCCGTAGGCGGGGTTGTCAGAGCGGAGAGGGAGCAACGTCTAAAGGTGCTCACTGTGAGTGGTATTGCTCTGGGGAGCTCCTGTTGCCCATGTCCCCAACCCCACGCTTGCCCCTTTCTTGCCCGTAGACCCCCTGGACACCGGGCAGAGGGAGTGGCCGAAGGACGTCCCACGGGAGATGATGGACGTCCAGCTGTACCTGGACAACAGCACCGTGCTCCCCTCCTCGTCCGCCGTCTACCTGCACTGGAAGGTCAGTGAGCAGTCTCCACTGGGACCCCGGCCTGGAGTGCCTGCCAGCGAGCCCTGGGCGGCCCCGCTGCCTGGCTCCGGGACGGGTGGGGTGAAGGGGAGGGCGGGGTGGGGGTGGCACTCCCCAGGGGGTGTGAAGTGGGCTTGTCTGTGCCTGCTCTAGCTCGGCTCCCTGAAAGCAGCAGCCTCTGGCCCCACAGGCCCTAGCTGACAGGCCTTCCCCGACCTCAGCCTCTTGGTGTGGGCTAGCGGTAGGCACCAACCCTGCCTGGCTAGCTCAGTTGGAAGAGTGTCAGACTTTTAATCTGAGGGTCCAGAGTTCATGTCCCTGGTCAGGTAAAGAAGGGATCCTTTTCCCCCCCCCCCAAAATTGGGGGGGCGGGATAGCTCAGTGGTTTGAGCATTGGCCTGAAACCCAGGGTTGTGAGCTCAATCCTTGAGGGGGCCACTTAGGGGTCTGGGGCAAAAATTGGGGGATTGGTCCTGCTTTGAGCAGGGGGTCAGACTAGATGACCTCCTGAGGTCCCTTCCAACCCTGAGATTCTATAAACCCGCGAGTCCTCAGAGTGCTCCCTGTGGTGCCCAGCCCGTGTCCACTGGACACGCACAGACGTTCCTGGCCGGCTGTCTCCAGGGCGCGGTGTACACACAGGTGGAGTGTTATAGCTCAGGGCCAGGGAACATCACAGCCAATTGATAGCGACCCAGTCATGAGTTTAGCATCAAAACCCCAGATTCAAGAGCTAATAAGTGAGGCGGATTCTGTGACTTTACTGGACCTCAGTGACGTCCACGCTTCAGGAGGAGGAGGCAGGACTGTGCCCCTGCCCTGTCCACCGGGGGCTGCAGCCAGGGTCACGCGCCCCTGCCCTGCGGCTTCCGCTGGGGCTGTGAGCCCTAGCCCTGTGGCATCCTGGGCTTGGTGGAGGCTGGGCCGTGTGCCTCAGCCCTGCGACTTCCAACAGGGGCTGCAGCCGGGGCCACGCACCCCCCCTTGTGCCTTTCCAGGGCTGTGCACGCCCATCCGGCTGTGGCCAGGGCTTGGCGGGGGCTGTAGTTGGGGCCACATGCCCCTGTCCCGCAGCTGCAGCCAGCTCTGGAGCATGGGCTATTGGGCTGCCGTGGCTGCACCCCCCCGCCCCCCCGCCTGCTGTGGCTGCTAGAGCTGAGCTCAGCCTGTCAGTCCCCTCCCCCACGGGACTCCATTCCTCCCCCCATCTAGCCCTGCCCCCTGGTTATTTTTAGTAAAGTCATGAACAGGTCACTGGCTCCATGAATTTTTGTTTATTGCCCGTGACCTGTCCGTGACTTTTACTAAAAATAGCCGTGACAAAGACTTAGCCTTACTCATAAGTAATGATCATAGAGTCAGAAATGGTTCCATAGAAACCAAAAGGTATAACCCGCTTCCTAGAGTCTCCGCTGAACTGTACCTGGCCAAACCCTTGTCTGAAGTAGTTTTTCTCTCCAAGGCAATCTCCCAGTGTCTCCAGCCAACCTGGCCAGGATCCCGCCTTCGTGAATGTAAAGAGCTCTGTCCTTTTTCCTTCCCCAGTGCAGGATAACAAGGGGTCTTCTGCCTTCTCCTTATATCCCCCCAAATCCACTGCTGATCTCCAGAGTCTGGATGGCCCCCAGGGTCTGTCCCTGGTGTGCTGACTTCATGTTTTCACATCCTCATGTTGCCTTCGTATGGAAACGGGGCTTCCTTGTGTCAGCTCCCAATGCTTAATGTATGTGGGAACTGAGGCAGCCAGGGGAACATACAGCCTTTGTGTTCCCATTGCCTGTTCTCACCCCAGGCCCTGCCTGGGCTTGTGCTGGTCCCGAAGCAGCTCAGGGCCTGTCCGAGCCAACCCCGTGCTGGAAGGGCGAGCACCTCGCCATGCTGCAGTGCATTTGCACAGGGCAGGGAGCCGAGACAGTCGCAGGCAACATGGTCTGCTTCTTCCCATCTGGCAGCCCCCCTCGCAGGGATGGGCGCAGCACGGTGATCCCTGGCCCGCAAACGGCCCCAGAGTTCAAAAGCAGAGGAGAAGTCCAGGGAATGTGTCACCCAGGACAAGCCCAGCACCCCACCAGGGCACCAGGAATTACACCGTGTGCCGAAGGAGCAGGAGGGAATGGAGAGCTGCCCCTGCACTCCCAGACTGTGAATGGGAAAGCGCTGCCCACACCCAGCCCCTTCCAGCAGGGCCCCACTGAGCTCTGTCCCCCTGGACAGCCTGGCCGGGCTAGACCTTGCCCTGCCCCAGTGCTGCTCGGATCCCCCACCATTCCCAGTGTGCACGGACAGGCTCAGCGAGGAGAGCGGAGTGCTGGCAGGAGAGCAGTGGCAGGATCCCCCAGCTCCACCGGCAGAGCGGCCTGGGGACAGCAACCTTGAAAGCATCGTCCCTCATGGAGGGGATCGTGGGTAACGCACGAATGCCGTCCAGGCCATTGGGCAGGTTGCAGGCAGGACTGAGGGGCTTTGGCTCTGCTGTGATATCTGCCTGTGAAAGGGACACAAGGACAGGACCCCCCAGCGAGAGGCTGCGAGGCCCGAAGGGTGGTAGCCAAGTGCGGCAAGGCCTCTCCAGCAGGGCCAGGCAGACCCCCGGGCTCACCACTGGCATGTTCCCCCACACAGTTGGGCCTGTGCTCGGCAGCGTCTGTCAGCAGCGCTGCCCAGGGGTGGCAGGCACCTGGAAACTGAGTGAGACACCATTGCAAATCCATCCCACCCCCAGCTACTTACCCACCCACCAACTTTCCTTCCCACCCATCCATCTAACCACCCACCCATCCCATCCCCAGCTACTTACCCACCCACCGACTCTCCCACCCATCTATCTAACCACCCATCCCACCCCCAACTACTTACCCACCCACCGACTCTCCCACCTATCCATCTAACCACCCACCCATCCCACCCACAGCTACTTACCCACCCACCGACTCTCCCTCCCACCCATCCACCTAACCACCCACCCATCCCATCCCCAGCTACTTACCCACCCACCGACTCTCCCTCCCACCCATCCATCTAACTACCCATCCATCCAACCCCCAGCTACTTACCCACCCACCGACTCTCCCTCCCACCCATCCATCTAACTACCCATCCATCCAACCCCCAGCTACTTACCCACCCACCGACTCTCCCACCTATCCATCTAACCACCCACCCATCCCACCCACAGCTACTTACCCACCCACCGACTCTACAACCCATCCATCTAACTACCCATCCATCCCACCCACAGCTACTTACCCACCCTCCGACTCTCCCTCCCACCCATCCACCTAACCACCCACCCATCCCATCCCCAGCTACTTACCCACCCACCGACTCTCCCTCCCACCCATCCATCTAACTACCCATCCATCCAACCCCCAGCTACTTACCCACCCACCGACTCTCCCTCCCACCCATCCATCTAACCACCCATCCATCCCACCCCCAGCTACTTACCCACCCACCGACTCTCCCTCCCACCCATCCATCTAACCACCCATCCATCCCACCCCCAGCTACTTACCCACCCACCGACTCTCCCTCCCACCCATCCATCTAACCACCCATCCATCCAACCCCCAGCTACTTACCCACCCACCGACTCTCCCACCTATCCATCTAACCACCCACCCATCCCATCCCCAGCTACTTACCCACCCACCGACTCTCCCTCCCACCCATCCATCTAACTACCCATCCATCCAACCCCCAGCTACTTACCCACCCACCGACTCTCCCACCTATCCATCTAACCACCCACCCATCACACCCACAGCTACTTACCCACCCACCGACTCTACAACCCATCCATCTAACTACCCATCCATCCCACCCACAGCTACTTACCCACCCTCCGACTCTCCCTCCCACCCATCCACCTAACCACCCACCCATCCCATCCCCAGCTACTTACCCACCCACCGACTCTCCCTCCCACCCATCCATCTAACTACCCATCCATCCAACCCCCAGCTACTTACCCACCCACCGACTCTCCCTCCCACCCATCCATCTAACCACCCATCCATCCCACCCCCAGCTACTTACCCACCCACCGACTCTCCCTCCCACCCATCCATCTAACCACCCATCCATCCCACCCCCAGCTACTTACCCACCCACCGACTCTCCCTCCCACCCATCCATCTAACCACCCATCCATCCAACCCCCAGCTACTTACCCACCCACCGACTCTCCCACCTATCCATCTAACCACCCACCCATCCCATCCCCAGCTACTTACCCACCCACCGACTCTCCCTCCCACCCATCCATCTAACTACCCATCCATCCAACCCCCAGCTACTTACCCACCCACCGACTCTCCCACCTATCCATCTAACCACCCACCCATCCCACCCACAGCTACTTACCCACCCACCGACTCTACAACCCATCCATCTAACTACCCATCCATCCCACCCACAGCTACTTACCCACCCTCCGACTCTCCCTCCCACCCATCCACCTAACCACCCACCCATCCCATCCCCAGCTACTTACCCACCCACCGACTCTCCCTCCCACCCATCCATCTAACTACCCATCCATCCAACCCCCAGCTACTTACCCACCCACCGACTCTCCCTCCCACCCATCCATCTAACCACCCATCCATCCCACCCCCAGCTACTTACCCACCCACCGACTCTCCCTCCCACCCATCCATCTAACCACCCATCCATCCCACCCCCAGCTACTTACCCACCCACCGACTCTCCCTCCCACCCATCCATCTAACCACCCATCCATCCAACCCCCAGCTACTTACCCACCCACCGACTCTCCCACCTATCCATCTAACCACCCATCCATCCCACCCCCAGCTACTTACCCACCCACCGACTCTCCCTCCCACCCATCCATCTAACTACCCATCCATCCAACCCCCAGCTACTTACCCACCCACCGACTCTCCCACCTATCCATCTAACCACCCACCCATCCCACCCACAGCTACTTACCCACCCTCCGACTCTCCCTCCCACCCATCCACCTAACCACCCACCCATCCCATCCCCAGCTACTTACCCACCCACCGACTTTCCCTCCCACCCATCCATCTAACTACCCATCCATCCAACCCCCAGCTACTTACCCACCCACCGACTCTCCCTCCCACCCATCCATCTAACCACCCATCCATCCCATCCCCAGCTACTTACCCACCCACCGACTCTCCCTCCCACCCATCCATCTAACCACCCATCCATCCAACCCCCAGCTACTTACCCACCCACCGACTCTCCCACCTATCCATCTAACCACCCACCCATCCCACCCACAGCTACTTACCCACCCACCGACTCTACAACCCATCCATCTAACTACCCATCCATCCCACCCACAGCTACTTACCCACCCACTGACTCTCCCACCCATCTGTTCATCCCATCCACTGAATCCAACCAGTCATCCACCCTCTGACCCTCCCATCCCCCCAGCCACCCATCTACCAACTCATCCATCCACTGGCCTGTCCTCCCACCCTCCCATCTATCAACATTTATACAGCGCTTTCTGCCATAGCAACCGCTCTCTCAGCTGGCTTCTCCCAGCGCATAGTCCTGCTGATGCAGCTCTGGCAGCCTGTCCTCAAGCCTCTTGCCCAAGGCAAGCACCATCCTGGGCAGAAGGACAATAGGAGACTTGGACACAGGCAGGCTGGGGGGTTGGGCAGATCTCGGCTGGCCTGTCCTGTGCCCTCACTGACCACGGTTGCCTTTCAGGTGATCCGCCCATCCCAGCACACTGAGGGACATGCTGTGCTGTACCGCTCCCTGCTGCCGGTCAGCGTGGACTGGGTTGAACGGAAGGTGCCCAGGGAGCACAGCATCATCATCCCAGCCCTCAAGAGAGGCTACAAGTATGAGTTCAAGGTTCGGCCCTATGCTGGGAAGGTCCATGGCGCAGACAGCAACATCAGGCATCTCTGGATCCCGGAGGAAGGTACAGCCCGAGGCACCCCCAGTCCCTCCAGCTCCAGGGCCTGACTTAGCTTGCTCTGCAGAGCAAGGTCTCATGGGGGACCTAGAGAGGCTGCAGGCCTGGCAGGGAGTCCGTGAGTGACGTGCTGGGTGGGTTTGAGGGCTTGGCGCGTGGCTGCCTGCAGGCCCTTCTACATGGTGCTGCTCCTTACAAGGCCCATGCCTTGCCAGGGGGAGCATGGGCAGGGGGTCCCGCTGCAGTGGACGGAAACCTGCCCAGTCAGCTGCTGTGCACCCCCTGGGTGAACGGCACGGCAGGTGCCCAGTGTGCCCTGGCACCCCATGGCTGCACCGTCCAGGGCCCATGTGTGGGGCCATGTGGGGAAGTGCCAAGGCTGGGGTCTGTCACCGTCCAGCTAGAGGGGACAGGGAGGGCAGAGGGGGAGGAGGAGCAGCACCATGCACAATCTCACAGGACCCCTGGGCACCAGGTTCCCTCCCCAGGAGCCCAGCTCGGTACCTTCATCTGCAGTCACCCCCACTGTGCATGGCCCCATGACCTGCCCTGCCTCTCTAGCGATACCTGCCTGAAGCCCCGATGGGCATCTTGGTGCTGGTGGGAGACCTCAGGGACCACAGCTCCGCTGCCCTCCCCCTCACACTCCAGTGCTCGGAGTGCGGGGCCTGGCTCTAGGGACCCCAGGCTCCGTGTCTGGAGAGCAGCCCAGCCCCGGGCTGCCCAAGGCGGTTTTCAGTGGTTCTCTCTTGTCCTCAGTGCCTAGTGCAGCTCCTCAGCGTGTCACCATCACGGCAGTGGAGGATGGGAATGGCACAGTGCTCATCAGCTGGGACCCCCCTCCCCACCCCGCACATAATGGCATCATCCGGGGCTACAAGGTGAGGATGTGCCAGGGCGACGGCTCAGGCCCCGCACGACACTGACATGCTCGGCACTCACAGTGGGGACGGAGGGTAAAGAGCTAAATCGGCCTGGCTTGGCCAGGCTGCAGCTCGTAGGAACCTGGCGGGAGCTCTGGCTCGCGGAGGGATCTCGCCCGAAGGTGGGGAGGTAACCAGAAGGGTGCCGGGGGGCAGGGCCGTGTGCCCTGGGAGCGCTGCCGGGCTGGGCTGCACCCTGCCAGAGTGACACAGGCTCTCGGTCACTCTCAGGAGCATTCACAGGAGTCAGTGTTGGTTTGTGCAGGGATCTCGGGGGCTGCTCTGCTCTGCTCTGGGAGCAGCCCCTAGGGGCCGTGTGCCAGCTCGGCAGAGCTGCAGTGAGCGATGCCCCTTATACAGGACCTGGGGGGCCTGGCAGAGGAGCCGCACCAGCTGAGGCCCCCTCCATGCCTGTGCGGTCGTGTCTTTGGAGCAGCTTTTGCTTGGAGTTCCTGGGGCTTCTTGTGGGGCCTGGGGCAGTATGGGTCACAGCTGTCCATGGGGCCACGGAGGTGGGGGTCAGAGCTGTCCATGGGGCCTGGGGCAGTGCGGGTCACAGCTGTCCATGGGGCCAGGGAGGTGGGGGTCAGAGCTGTCCATGGGGCCTGGGGCAGTGCGGGTCACAGCTGTCCATGGGGCCACGGAGGTGGGGGTCAGAGCTGTCCATGGGGCCTGGGGCAGTGCGGGTCACAGCTGTCCATGGGGCCAGGGTGGTGGGGGTCAGAGCTGTCCATGGGGCCTGGGGCAGTGCGGGTCACAGCTCTTCCATGGGGCCACAGAGGTGGGGGTCACAGCTGTCCATGGGGCCTGGGGCAGGGCAGGTCACAGCTCTTCCATATGGCCAGGGTGGTGGGGGTCACAGCTGTCCATGTGGTTAGGGTGGTGTGGGTCACAGCTGTCCATGGGGCTTGGGGCAGTGGGAGTCACAGTTATCTGTGAGGCTCGGGGTGGAGCAGGTCACAGTTATCCGTGGGGCCAGGGGCAGTGGGGGTCACAGCTATCCATGGGGCCTGGGGCAGAGGGGGTCAGAGCTGTCCATGGGGCCAAGGGGGGTGCGGGTCACAGCTGTCCGTGGGGCTCAGGGCAGTGAGGGTCACAGCTGTCTGTGGGACTTGGGTCAGTGGGAGTCACAGTTATCTGTGGGGCTTGGGGTGGAGCAGGTCACAGCTATCCATGGGGCCTGGGGCAGTGGGGGTCACAGCTATCCATGGGGCCTGGGGCAGTGGGAATCACAGCTATTCAGGGGGCCCAGGGCAGAGCAGATCACAGCTGTCTGTGGGGCCTGGGGCGGTGGGGGTCACATCTGTCCATGGGGCCTGAGGCAGTGGAGGTCATAGCTGTCTGTGGGCCCAGGGAAGTGGGGGTCATAGAATCATAGAATATCAGGGTTGGAAGGGACCTCAGGAGGTCATCTAGTCATCTAGGGGGTCACAGCTGTCCATGGGGCCTGGGGCAGTGGGGGTGTATCTGGTTGTATCTGTGTCTGGGTGTATGACAGGCGTCCTGTCTCTTGGTCTGGGTTTATCACAGCCGTGTTAGCTCTGTCTGGGTGTGTTACAGGTCTGGTACCTGGGCAATGAAACTCACCATCGCTCCAACAGGACCGTGGATGGAGGGACGCACAGTCTGGAAACGGTCATGCTGCCGGCTGGGGTTAAATACTGTATCCAGGTGGCAGCCTTCAATGGAGCTGGGCTCGGGGTGCCCAGCAATGCCACATGCAGCAGCGTAGGTCAGAAATGATGTTTTGTTCGTAGAGCTCTTTGTCCAGCCGGAAACCCTCAGGCGCCCCGTGATGGGCCCAGGGGGAGCGGGGGAGCCCTGTGATCAGAGAGCCAGTTGGGGATGCTGGGACAGACAGATTGCTTGCTCGCTTGCCCTCCCTTTGACGTTCTGGCTCCCCAAGCTGGCACACTGGCCTGCTGGCTGCGCTCACTTGCTTCCCTTAGAAACCCGGGTTCAGTCACCTGGACCCTTGGCACCGTTGCCAGCTGGCCAGACTGGAGGCTTAGGGAAGTGTGTGACCCCTTGGACTGCAGGGACCCTCTGGGGAGCAGCACGGAGATCACGCTCCTTGGCCTGTTTCCCTTCTCTGACGCCTGCCCAGTGGACATTTTTCTTCTCTGCATTTGACTCATTTCACGTGAGCACAGTGCTGGCTTTCCGCTGGGACGAGGGAAAGTTGGCTGATGGTTCGAGCTGAGAGCTGGCCATCTGGAATCTGGTTCTGTTCCCGGCTCTGCCTGACTTTCACTGGGTCACCTTGGCCATGGCCCATCCTTCTCCCTTTCTGCCAGGTGTGCCGCTCGCAGGGCTCCAGCCCACAGGCCCTGGGGGTGTGGTGGGACCCTCCCAGCCCCTCAGGCTGGCTCCCTCTGCCAGCTGGGCCAGTCTCTCCTCCTCCCAGCTGACGCCTGCCCTCAGCATTATCCCAGCTCTCAGCCAGGCTCCGCAGCGACGCCCGCGCCGAGGGTGGACTCCAGCCCTGGCACTGTGCAGGCAGGAGGCTCTGGTGCCCCTCCGAGCGGCAGCCCAGGTGTTTCTGGGGGGAGCAGACTCCATGGTAGCAAAGGGACTGGAGCCTGGCCCAATCTCCTGCTGCAGCTGGGCCTTTGCTATTAACCTTTCGGTGTCCTGTGGGCAGGCGGATGAGCAGGTCAGCTCTCCCGGGGGCGTCGCTCTGCATTGAACGAGCTCCGCCTGTCACCTCCACCTCTGATCCACCCCTTCCTTCCCAGAGCCCCTGGTGGGAAAGATGGCCAGGACCCCGGCTGTGCGCTCCGTCAGCCACATCCTGGCAGTGATCCGCCAGCCTGTCTTCATCGCTAGTGTGGGCTCGCTGCTCTGGCTCGTGCTGATGGTGCTGGCTCTCTACCTGTGCCAGCACCATGCCAAGCATTACAGCCAAGAACAGCAGCGTGCCACAGGCAAAGGTGAGCGTGAATCTGGGGCTATGGAACTGCGAGCCCAGCTGTCTACCAGCAGTCTCTAGCATGGAGGTGGGGGGCAGCAGGGGCCCTGGAACGACACGGTATGCCTGGGCTCGGTGAGTTTGAGACACCCCAGCCCTTAGGGTCCTGGGCCAGTCCAGCTAAAGCAGGGCTCCCCAACCTCACCCCCGCTCACTGGGCCCTGCAGCCCCCCCACAGCCTGGACATTACACTGGGGATTGGTCTTAGACGGCTCTGATTTCTGCCCAAGCGCTACCCTGGGGGATGGCCCCAGAAAGGGGCCCGTCAGTGCAGGAGATCAGTAGGGTCCATGCCGGGTGGTCTGGGGTGAACCCCAGGGGTTCCCTATCTCAGTGCTGTGGGAGCATGCCCAGGGGTTATCCAGAGACTGGTGCTGGGACCGGTGAGGAGCTGGCAGAGCCCCCAGGATGGCAAGACCGGGTTGCAATCAGCAGCGGGGATGAGATGAAACTCAGGCAGGGGAAGATGGGGGCCTGATAAGAAAGGTGGCCAAAAGGGGCAGCAAACGGGTGGCATGCAGCTCAGGACGGTCTGCACCCTGGTCATTGCAAGGAGCCATTGCTGTGCAACTAACAACCTCCCTGCCTTGCTCCCAGGTCTGTGCCGATATGCCAGCGAAGACACCATTGTCAAGCACAGGTGAGTGACGGCCTGGAGAAAACGGTTGTGAACTCCTATGGCATGGGCTGGCCTGTATCCCCGCTCAGCAAGCCCCAGGGTGGCCCACTGACAGGGAAGATGCCTGCTTTATTCCTGACCTGCAGCCCCCTGCTATCCCAGCCCTGGGCCCCCCCTCACACTCAGCTCTGCCAGAGCCCCTCAATCCCGACCCACAGCCCCCTGCTATCCCAGCCCTGGGCTTCTTCTCACACTCAGCTCTGCCAGAGCCCCTCAATCCCGACCCACAGTGCCTGCTATCCCAGCCCTGGGCTCCCCACACACAGCTCTGCCAATGCCCCTCAATCACAAACCGCAGCCCCTGGTACCCCAGCCCTGGGCTCCTCCTCACACTCAGCTCTGCCAGAGCCCCTCAATCCTGACCCCCAGCCCCCTGCTATCCCAGCCCTGGGCCCCACACATGGCCCTCTGTAAGACACCAAACAGCTTACAGTCTGCAGCAGCCCCTACCAGCCCCACCTGTGCCCTGTGATGGTCCTGTGGGCAAAGGGGATGAGGGCAGGCTGGAGGGGGAGCTGAGCCAGCTGGTCTCTGCTGGGGCATGTGATGGCTCTGTGATGAGAGGCTGCCAAGCTAACACCCCTGGTGCTTCCTGGTCCTGGAGAGAGGCAGGTGCCCAGGGTGCTGTGAGTTACACAGTGCTCTGGGGCCTTCCCCTACAACAGATCCCCCGCTCGTGTGGGTGCTGCGCAGCACCTGCCAGCAGGAGGGAGCCAGAACCTGCCCCCTGCCCGCCCTGACACACCCCTGCCGGGGGAGGCAGGCTGGACCTGCTAGGGCTCCCCATGCTGGGAATGCAGAGGATCTTTCATAGAAATGTCATAGAATATCAAGGTTGGAAGGGACCTCAGGAGGTCATCTAGTCCAACCCTCTGCTCAAAGCAGGACCAATCCCCAATTTTTGCCCCAGATCCCTAAATGGCCCCCTCAAGGATTGAACTCCCAACCTTTTCCACTCCCTCTGCACTACCTGAGAGCACAAAGGGAATGGTGCTGGCCCACGAGCCTGGCCCAGTCACAGTGCTCCCTTCCCATGGCCAGGGCTGGAGCGGGGCACTAGCCCTGCCCTAGCCCCCTCCACGCAGACACAGGAGGAAGGTGCCACAGACTCACCGGCCGGCAGTGCCGGGGCTCTCCAGAGCTGCTGCCGGTGACAGCAAAGCCCCCTCCCGGTGCCTTCACCTGTACATCTCCTCCCCTCCCCAACCCCAGGATGGACGTGAGTGACTCCCCGTGGCTGGCTGACAGCTGGAAAGCCACCTCCTGCTCCAAGACCTTCAGCAGCAGCAGCAGCAGGTCGAGCAGCCAGCTCCTGTGGGCCGAGACCAAAGACAGCCTGGATTTCCACTGCTCCAGTGAGTCCCTGCCGCGCCGCTCTGCTCCTGGCCATCCCCTGCCCGGACAGAGGCTCCCGCGCTGACCAGCCCACACCTCTCGCTGCACCTTCAGGGCAAAGTCAGGACGTTCTGTAGGGAAGGTGACGTTCCCTGTGCGGGATCCTGGGAACCCGGCCACAGGCCAGCTGAGCTCCCTGCACGGGATCCTGGGAGCTGGGCTGCGGGCCGGCTGAGCTCCCTGTGCGGGATCCCGGAAACCCAGCCGCGGGCCAGCTGAGCTCCCTGTGCGGGATCCCGGGAGCCGGGTGTCACGGAGTGTGGGGGAGTCCGGGCCCTGCACCCCTCTTCCTGGGATTCACTGAGACTCTCAGCCAGCCAGTAAAACAGAAGGTTTATTGGACAACAGGAACACAGTCCAAAACAGAGGTTGTGGGTACAACCAGGACCCCTCAGTCAAGTCCTTCTGGGGGAGCAGGGAGCTTAGACCCCAGCCCTGGGGTTCCCTGCATTCCTCCACCCAGCACCAAACTGAAACTAACCCCCCCGCCGCCCCCAGCAGGTTCCCTTCTGCAGCCTGTCTTCACATTCCTGGCAGAGGTGTTACCTCCCCCTCCTGGCTCAGGTGACAGGCTCTCAGGTCTCCCATCCCCAGGGCACATTCCCAGGTCAACCCTCCCCCCTCCCTGCTGCATCACATCGTCACACCCGAGCCAGGGGCCGGCTGAGCTCCCTGTGTGGGATCCCGGGAGCCGCGGGCCAGCTGAGGCAGGGGGAGCGCTGCAGGCTGGGTGTGTCTGCGGGCGCGTGGGGCGGGGGGAGCGCTGCGGGCTGGGTGTGTCTGCGGGTGCGTGGGGCGGGAGGAGCGCTGCGGGCTGGCTGTGTCTGCGGGTGCGTGGGGCGGGGGGAGCGCTGCGGGCTGGGTGTGTCTGCGGGTGCGTGGGGGGGGGAGCGCTGCGGGCTGGGTGTGTCTGCGGGTGCGTGGGGGGGGGGGAGCGCTGTGGGCTGGCTGTGTCTGCGGGTGCGTGGGGCGTGGGGAGCGCTGCGGGCTGGCTGTGTCTGCGGGTGCGTGGGGCGGGGGGAGCGCTGCGGGCTGGCTGTGTCTGCGGGTGCGTGGGGCGGGGGGAGCGCTGCGGGCTGGGTGTGTCTGCGGGTGCGTGGGGCGGGGGGAGCGCTGCGGGCTGGCTGTGTCTGCGGGTGCGTGGGGCGGGGGGAGCGCTGCGGGCTGGGTGTCTCTGCGGGTGCGTGGGGCATGGGGAGCGCTGCGGGCTGGGTGTGTCTGCGGGTGCGTGGGGCGGGGGGAGCGCTGCGGGCTGGGTGTGTCTGCGGGTGCGTGGGGCGGGGGGAGTGCTGCGGGCTGGGTGGGACTCATGGAGCCTCGAGGGCCTGGAGACTAATACACCGTGTCTCTCTCCTTTCCCTCTGCAGCCATGTCCTTTGACAGGCCGAGCCAGAGCTCCCAGATCCCGGCTGTCCCCCGGGGGCCCGACAGCAGCAGCCTATACAGGATGCTCTATGTTGACCTTCCTGCCAAGGACATGCAAACCTTCCACCGCCCCCCTGTGCCCAGCACCCCTGGCCCTCACCGCAGAGCTGCGGAGCCCGGGCGACCCACCGACCCCAGGCTTGGGCCCCGTTACAGGCAGAGCATTGGCATGGAGAGTGGCTGTGCGGGGGGAACCGAAAAGAGAGGGCTGTGGAAGCCAGCGGGCCCCGGACCCCCCAGGCTCACCTTGCAGGGTCCCTGGGAGAGCAGCAGCAAAAGAGGTAAGGGCCGCAGGAAGTCCCAGCTGGGAGCTAGGGGCTCTGACCTCAGGGTGCCTGGGCCTGCATTCAGGGGCTGCAGGGTGCCATGCGGGCACACAAGCCCCGCGGGAAGGGTTGGCGTTTCCCTCCTGATCCTCTGAGCCCGTGGCAACGTGCTGCCCTGCTACGCTGCGCCCTGCACGTGCTGACACCAGCCCCGATGGCAGGCCCGCCATCGACCTTAGCTTGCCGTAGGCCCCAGCCAGCTCAGTCTTTCCTCAGCGTGGCCAGAAAATGGGCACAGGGAACAGCTGCAGTGTCTGCCATCCCACTGGGCATGAGCCCCACCAAATAGTCCGGCCACAGCCCAGTGCCGTGCCCCTGGCGTTCCCTAGTGCCCCGCCCTCCTGCCCCCAGGGCCGGGGCAGGGGCCTTCTCCCCAGAGCAACCCTGTGGCTGTTCTGCTGGCATCACAGCCCGACTGGGCCTGCCCACGGAGGGGACCTTCACCTGGGCACTCCCCTGCCCCGGTGGCTGGCCATGGCCTATGTTCATTCTTTGCCCTGGTCCTGGCTTCACGCCGGGGTCGGGTTCCGCACCCGGGACAAGCCCTGTGAGCTCCAGCATGGCTCCCCGCAGGGTGTCAGGGGAGGGGCAGCGCACTGGCCCAGCGGCACGAGAGGGTGCAGGAGGAGGGGAGCAGCGGGAGCCCTGGCAAGTGCTGTCTGGCTCCCTGCGGCACTGGCTGTGGGAGCACAGGAGGGGGCCAGGACCACACTGACAGCAGGGGATGAGGTGCCCAGTCCAGCAGCAGGGGGCAGACACAAAAACCAGGGCTGCTGAGTTCTGTGTGTGCCCCTGTCTGGGCTTGTCCCATGCTAAGCAGTGGGGACCGGAGCCCTCCCACTCCTTCCCCCCTGCACCTTTGTGCTCTGAGTCCAATGGCTGAACAGCCCTTGGGCAGCGCAAAGGGTTGCTGGCATCGTACACCCCCCATGCCCTCAGCAACAGCCCTGCCCTGAGCCCCCTCAGCCTGAGCCGACCACCACCACTCTCCTTGCATCCAGCCTCCAGTCCCCAGCTCCTGGCAAACCCCAGGAAGGGAAACACGTGCTAATCCCAGCAGCTTCACTGCCTACAGAGGGGCTGCCAATGTGGGGGAGGGAAGCTACTGTGGGAGGGGTGCTGAGGGAGGCTGGGATTTCATTATCTCCAGAGTTTAGGACAAACCGGCGCCATGGAGGTCAGAGAAAGCCAATGGACCCTGTTTACTTGCCACGAGCTGTGCGGTGAGTGCTCCCTCCCTGAGCTGCCCCAGGGAGCTGTGCCGTGCTGGAGCGCGGGGCATGGGGCGACAGCGTAGCCGCTCCTCCATCCCAGGCGCTGTCTGCAGCTTGGGCCCCAGCTGCTCTGCCTCTGGGGATTCCAGCCAAGCCGAGTGTAGCCGAGCCCAGTGGGGGTGGGGGAGGCGGCACTGGGGAGTGACTCTGGCCCCTGCCCCAGACACCTGCGCTTGAGTGGGCAGCAGGGACACTACACGCTGTGGGGAGCCAACACCTCACCGCAGGACAGCAGGCCTGGCCACTTAGTGCAGGATTGTTAGTGGAGTCTGATCCCTGTATGATGGGATCCCCCCAGGGTGCCACCTGGGGCTGGGTACCCTGAGCCCTCTGACTCACGAGCCTGGGATGTCTCTCCCACTGTGCTGCTGTGACAAGCTGCAGACCCACTCCTGGTCCTACACTTCCACTAGCATTCACACAGGTAGGGACACAGGCAGCTGCAGTTACATGCAGGCTCTCTGACCAGCCACTGCAGGAACCAACAATAGAGAGGATAGAGCCAAAATAACCACCAGCTTCCCAGCCTAGGAGCTCCTCCCACTCCCCGGAATATAAACTCAAAATTATACTGTCTGCGCTGCACAGGGGACTGTACAGTGCAAGCTCATAGAGTTCGCCTTCCTCAGTGTGGAGAGGAAATGCAACAGCCCCCGCCCCTTGAGCTAAGATTCCCAAGCACTTCACTCCAAACTTACTGGTTTAGATTAAAACATAAAACAAGTGTATTAAGTACAAAAAGATAGATTTTAAGTGATTATAAGTGATAGCAAACAGATCAAAGCAGATCACCTAGCAAATAAACAAAAATGCAAACTAAGCACTAGAAAGATAGGATATGAATTAGCAAATTCTCACCCTGGCTGATGATACAAGCAGGTTGGCAGATTCTTAAGGCACAAGCTACATTTACTTTGCAGCTTGGAATCTCCAGGGTTTTCATACACAGGTTAGAAATCCCTTTAGCCTGGGTCCAGCACTTCTCCAGTTCAGTCTTTTATCCGCAGGTGTTTTCAGGAGTCCTCTTGTGTGAGGAGTGAAGAACAACAGATTATGTCACTCCCTGCCTTATAGAGCTTTAGCATATGGCAGGAACCCTTTGTCCCAAACTCAGTTTGTGGAAAAACACAGACATCCCAAGATGGAGTCCAAAGTCATGTGGCCTGGTTACATGCCCTTGCATACCTTTCTGAGTTATAGCAGCCATTACTTACAGGCTGTCTGGAATGTTCAAAGGAAAGTTAAAGTTCTTCCAGGGTCCATTGTCTTTGCTGATGTGCCATCAGCACTGTCTGGCTTCTTCATTGTTGTACCAGAAAGGCTAGTTGTGGGTGTCACCCAGCGTAAGCACAATTGAAATACAGATACATAGTCAATATTCACAACTTCACATACAAAAATGATATGTGTATACAAATAGGATAATCATATTCAGCAAATCATAACTTTTCCAATGGCACCTCACATGACCCGTCTGGTACAAAATGCACCATAATTATGCCATAATCATGTCATAATAATATCACTATGAAGAATATGGGGTGCAGTGTCACACCCCATCCCTCCAGCCCTACAGAGATCCAGAGAATTTAAGGTCCATCGGGATCACCTGCTCTGACTTCCCAGAGACCCTCATCCAGGTGCCACGGCATCTAGCCCACTAGTTGGTGTTTGACTGGGCGCTGAGCCTAGATCTTTCAGCCCCATGCTGCTACGAACACCTGGCCTAGGTGCTGGAACTAAGCGTGCTGGAGGTGCTGCAGCACCCCCTGGCTTGAAGTAGTAATAACAACCTAAACACATGGTTTTCACCTTCCGCACCCCCACTATAAAAATTGCTTCAGCACTTCCGACACCTGGTTTCATAGTAAGCGAATTCACCAATTTCCTTGGTCGAGGAAGGACAGTTGAACAAAGAAGATGATTGAGTTCCTAATCTCTCATAGCTGGAAATCGTCCATCAGCAACTGCAGATCTTATTGGTCTGCCAAGCCTGGCAACAGCAACCACTAATTAGTCTCTGCGCGTTTCTTTCTTAGATTAACGAGCACTGGCAAAGCAATGATTGTGTTACCAGAATTCAAATGCTCTGACCTAAATTTCGATAGCATTTGAAACCGCTGTGCAGTTGAAATCTCAAACAGGTTTGAGACTGCCAAAGTATACTGATTCTCTCTCCACCTGGACGGGCTTCAGATCCCAGATAACAGTTCCACAGGAACGCCACAGATTCTTGCTGCCTGGTTTCCCTTATGTGTCTTTACATCTCTGTGGATTTTGGTGGATTCACCAGGATCATTTTGCATGGAATGGGTCAACTCAGCAGCAGCCTTAATGTCAGGGTCCAGCAAAGCTGAGAGTGCATTTACCAGCTGACTGACATGTACCCTCCACCTCTGCATTGAGCAGCTGATCAGAACTGGAGTCAACCACACCAAATGAAAGATCTTTCTTGGGGGTGAGTGCCACAAGTGTTTATAGAAGGAAGCCACGTCGTTCCTGGCAGAAGATTCCTTGAGGGCGATGGCTTTGACTCCCATAAGAGCTTTGTGGTCATATTGCTATGACTGTCCTTGGTCCCTAAAATGGCTAAGAAGCCCTGGATCTCCATTAATACCTTAGCTGTGTTTGAACAGTGTTGCATTGCTCATTTGGGAGATGATATGGTCACATGTTGTAAGGTAAATAACATTTGTAATTAAGCAATGCACGAAACAAGGACTGAAACAAGACTGAAAAGAAGCTGGACACCAGTCAGATGAAGCATCTCTGAATAATCAAAAATATCAAATAGTTCAAACTCAAGTTGAATGAAGAGAGCCATTTCCTAGCTGCACAGGTCCCGCTCTCTCAGACCCGCTCCCTCGGGTAACAGCCCCAGCCAAGTTGCAGCAGATCAGGCAGCGCTGCTTGAGAAAGTCCCCGGGGCCCTGAGTGGGCAGGGCTAGCCTGTGCTACCCCCTGCTGCCATGGCTTCCCTGCTGCTGTTACCCAAGCTTGCCTTGATCTCGCTAGATCGGCCCTTTCTGCAAACACACCTGCAGCTGCAGGGTAGACAGATTCATTGGCTTGAAAGTGACATTGGCATAGCTACGTCAGTAAGGCGTGTGAACCAACCACACCCTGACCCGGGTAGCTCTGCCCACCTAACCCCCAGAGCAGACACAGCTATGCTGGCGGAAGAGGTCTTCCATTGACATTGTCAGGCTGTGTGGAGTGGCTAACCACCATGAGTGCCAACCACTGGGCAACTGGCACAAACCAGGGCACAAACCCGAAACTGGTAGTATGTTCCACAATTAGAATTCACCAACCCAGTAACAAGTGTGAACTCCTCCGACACTGTTATAGCATAACCATGGCAAGACAGACAGTCCCCTTGGGCACTCCAGTCTATCTTGCTTTTGTGTAAGATGGTCCCTTATACCACAAACCACAACACTCAGGTTACCTCCAGTCCCAAAGGACCAGTCAGTTACCCCAGGTCAATGACACCTCAGATCTGAAACCCAAGACAACGCCTATAGCCAATCCTATAATAAACTAACTAAAGGTTTATTGGATAAGAAAAAGGAATGAGAGTTATTGACAGGGTTAAAGCAGTAAACACACACACAAATGAGTTACAGTCTTAGGTTCTAAAAGGTAACAGAAGCTTCTATAATCCGCAAGCTCTATATGGCCTCTCTCTTGCATACGCTTCACAGTCTTTGCCCTGCAGAGTTCAAGCAGTATAGACATAAAGTTCCTTCTGGCCAGGCACTTTTATTCCCTCCCCCCGGAGTTCGAAGGGGTGGGACGAGCATGTCTCCTCTTCAGGGGCATGAGGGAAGCAATCAGCGAAGTCTTTTGTGCAGTGATGTCCCACAATGGCTTGTCTGGTGTCTGTAGACCTTTTGTGTGTGCAGGACGTGACACCTCTTGTGGTAAACGAGTATTTCACACCTGGCCGTGCTTCCTCCTGACTCGGGGCTTTGCAGGTTCATAGCAAATGCTTTTATAGTTACAAAGAAAATACTTAAATGGTGCCTTGTAAGGTGGGATGCAGATATTATATGTGAGATTAATACCTGCAGCAACTCACAAGTATGTCATAAAGTCCCAACTCTGAACACATGGTAACGCTAACATGTTATAACAACACAAACACAGTGGTGAGCCTGGCTGGTTTCCAGCTGTGCCTTTGTCAGGGAGGCCGGGGGGGCCTTGGCATGAGCTGGCACCTGGCCTGGCAGCGTCACACACATAGCTAATGTTCTCTTCTGCCAATGCTGGCTGCATCTACGTGGCACGGCTCTGCCAGGATAGCTCTGGTGCACAGCTGTGCTGGTGTAGTCTCTGCAGTGTAGCTGTACCCCCAGCCTGGGGGCCCTGGGAAGCGAATCACTGTGGTGCAGCGTGCAACCCCCCCCCCATCCCAGTGGTGCTGGGAGCAGAGCAGGGCAGGCCGGGATTCCCAGGCTCGGTCGCAGAGTGATGTCAGGGGCTCGCATGCGAGTGGGGACTGGGTCCAAAACGTCCTCACAGGCTCCTCCGCGCTCGGCGACAGGCCAGACACTGGCTTCAGTGAGTTCGCGCCCATCTGCACGGCTCCAGCTGAGAGCTGGTCTGGCCTGAGAGGGGCCCGGAGGAGAGGTGCAGCTCTGGTTATCCCCCCCCACCTCAACTGTCCCACGGTTCACCCCTCCTCTCCTTCTCCCCCAGAGCTACAGCAGGTACAGAGCACCCCCGTGCTGTCGCCCAGCCTCCCGGCGTACTCCACCAGCCCTAGCAGTGTGCCCGGCACCGGCAGCTCAGGAAAGCGCCATGCAAGCAAAGGTGAGCAAAGCCGCAGCCTGCCCCATGGACCTTCCTCCAGCCCTGGTCCCAGAGCGTTGGGGCTGCAGCACCAGGCCAGGCTGCCCTTCCCCAGTAGCTGGGGGGCTGGAAGGGACCAGGGTGTTCAGGAGAATTTCCTGGGTGCTCTGCAGGCCTGCGGGTGCTTTGGGACCTTGCGGAGCACTGCGGGAAGTTTGGGGGAGATTGGGTTCACCCATGGGGCCCTGTCATAGTCTGGGAGGTGCACTGGGGGGCTGCTAGCCTATGTGGCTCTCTGCGGGGTGAGGCTGTCTTAGCGGGGGAAGGTGGTGCTGGAGGGCTCCGTTAGTGGCAGGAGTATCTGGGCACTTTGTTAGTGGGAGGTCTGGGGGTCTGTGTTAGTGGGGGTTGGGGGCTGCATTAGCAAGGGTGTTTCTGGGGATCTGTGTTACCCTCTGGAGCTCTTGGGCTGGGGAGTGTTTGGGGGGCTGCGTTAGTGGGGGAGTCTCTGGGTGGGGGGGCTGTGTTAACCTGTGGAGCTCTCTGGTGGGGGGCAGGGGATGTAATATTCCCTGGTCTTCCATGAACCTCTGGCCATGAAGCCAGGGCCTTCCCCCTCCAGACACTGTGGCTGGCTGGAGCCATTTGCTGGCATCGCTTCCCCGCTGGCTGGTGGAGACACCCGGGGGCCAGCCTACTTGGCCCCCATTGGGGCTCATGCCTGGTCAGAGAACACAAAGGCTGGGCTTGTCTGGGGCCTGGAGACTCAGCCGCCTCTGCCGCTCCCTAGGGACTCTCACAGGCCCCCCATCTCTGCACTCAGGTACCCCCAGACCCCTCTCCTGCTCCTCTGTACACCCCACCCTCCACCCCCTCACACTGCCAGGCACTCGGGCTCCCCCAGCTGCCCTGCTCCCTCAACACTTGCCCCCTCACCGTCCACATGCTCCTGCTCAACCTTATCCCCCAGGGCTGGGCCCCCTCTGCCGCCCTGGCCCCACTCTCCTGGAGGCTGGGGGCAGGCAAGGGGAAGGTGAGGGAGCCTTGTGGGGCCTGCATGGCCTGGGGATCTGCACTGGGAACCGTGGCCAGGTGCTGCCATCCACAGCCCGGGCCCCAGCGAGGGACAGTGGGACACCCTGGTCACTGAGTGAGGTGGATTCCTTCCTTGGAGCATCTCTTGCCCCAGCTGCTTCCTCCAACACCAGGGACCACACTGAGCAGAGCCACCCTACCCAGAGGCACCTCTGAGATGGCAGCCTGGGCTGGCCTAGAGCAGAGCTGGCAGCAGCCAGGCCTAGGCAAGACGAGGAGACTGGCAGGAGAAAAGGAGGGAATTCTGTAAGCCACATCCCTGGGGCTCCAGGCCTGTCCGGGGGACAGCAAGTGCCTGGGGACAGGGCTGGAGTCTGTTACCCCCTTCCTGACCGTCCCCATGCCAGGGCTGCTGTGAACAGTTTGGCAATCCATTGCCTCTCCTGCTCTCCGTGTGGCACTGAGCCAGCCAGGGTGGGCATGTCTAGATCTCACTGCCCGGCCACGTAGGGCATCACTGCCCAGCCGAAGGACCAGCTGGAATGGCTCTGAGTTCTGCCAGGGCTTGCATTACTAGAGAGTTGGCAGCAGGGGGCACCAGCGCCCCACACACAACCGCCAGCTGGGCTCTTCGGTCGGGATAAGAATCCCCCAGCCCTGCCCTGCCCAGTGCTCATCCTGCTGCACCCCAGCTCTGCCCCACGGCCGCGGGGATGCAGAGTGGCTGCAGGCTCGTGCTGCAGGCAGGGACCAGGAGGCGGGGGGGGGGGCCACTGTGCTGGGCGCTGCCCCTCCAGCCGCTCACCAGGGCTGCTCCCCCATTTGGCACACCCCGTGGCTGGGAGTGGGGCTTGCACCCCCAAAGGCAGGGCGGGCTGGGCTGCTGGGCCCGCCTGCTCTGACAAGGCGGGGCTGGGACTGATTAATGGGTCCAGGCTGGGTCTAGCTCGGTTTCAGCCCCAAAAGGTCCAAACCCCAAGTCAGGCCCCAGACATCAGACACTGACCCCCACATCATGATATTTTTAACAAAGAGAAATCCTGTGATGAGGGGCTGGCCCCCAGGCCGGGAACAGTCTGCGCCCTGCTGAGCTGGGCTGGACTCAATGCCGTGCCCTCCAGGGGAAAGGCTCATAGCCCGGCAGCAATGCCCTTAGGCAGCCCTTCCCCTGCAGGCACAACCAGTCCACTGAGAGAACACTACACGTATTAAATCTGCTGCTGTCCCTCCTGGGGCTCACCGGGCAGGGGCTGTCCCACCCTGCATGCCCCCCTGGGCACTTTCAGCCGCAAACACTGTCTGCCCCCACCCCAGTGCAGCCCCAGGAACCAGGCTACAACCACTAAACATGCAATGGGAAAACCAGCATTAATGCAACATCCCACGTCCCATCAGCTCACAGCTGTGTGATGGAAAACCCCTCCAGCAGTAAAGCAGGGCCTTGACCCAGCTGTTATGCAAAGGGGAATATTTTTTACCCCCACCTGGGTCATTGGCAGGAGTTGCCCCTCCCTTCCCCCCTTTAGCAGTACAGCACGGCCCTCTCCTCCACTCCAGCTGCAGAGCGATGGCTGGGGAGCGAGCATGCTGTTATCCTGTGGGGGCCGGTTCCTGCATGGTGCAGCTACGGCCCGAGGGTTTCTGAGCCAGCAGGGGGATGGGGCGTGTCCCTGGTTTCAAGCAGGCTCCCCACCCAAACTTACCGATGGCCCGGCGTGGGGCTGAACTCAGAACAGCACGAGCGTCTGCTGGCTGCACTCGCGCCTGGAGGGAGGAGTAAAGGCACCGCCCTCGCTCTGTGGTCGCGTGCTCCAGGCCCACGCTGTGTTCGGGAGGTTAGAAAAGTGCCTAACGTGACATGCTCCTTCGGAAATGCTGTGTGGCAGAGCAGCCGGGCTTTGGCTCGGGTATATTAAAGACTTGGCTTCTCCCGGCTCTGCCTGCGGGGACCGTGGACAAGCTGCCCGGTGGCGTCTCTGTCCGACTGGTGAGATGTGGAACCTTGGCTCAGAATCAGGGCAGTGAAGGGCACAGGAATAGTAACAGTAACTGCTGGCACATGGCCTCTGGTTTGCAGGTCAGCGCCCCTTCCACCGTGGCTGCTGTGCCCGGCTCCCTCCCTTTGCTTCCAGCAATCACGTGATGGCCGCAGGGCTGCGCATCGCCACGAGACCCCTGCAGCCGAGGCCAGTATAGTGCTGCTCTCACACTGGTACCACGGCCCACAAGAGAAACGTGGGCTGGGAGGTTCAGCCCCCGCTCCCTGCCGTAGCGATCCCTGGCAGGGAGGGTGTTTAGCTGGCAGGTTGAGCCTGTCTCAAACACATCCACAGGTTTTATGTAACCCTTGCTCCAACCTCGCCCGGTGTTACCGCGATCGGCTACATTCTGTCCCAGCCAGTGACCTGAGCAGGCCTGGCCCCACCATGAGGCGAACCAAGGCGGCTGCCTCAGGTGCCAGACTGGGCGGGGGGGGGGGGCGCCACTAGGACCCAGCGTGTAGAAAATGGTGTCTGCTGCTGGTGCATCTGGATTCTCCCTGCTCTGGATGCACAGAGATGGGGGAGTGCTGGGCTGGAGGAAGGAGGGCGCAAGAGACAGAACGGGCAGGCAGGAGAACAGGGGAGCAGGAATCACAGAAAGCAGCAGGAGCTGCAGGGAGAGAGAGGAGGAGGAGCCTCTTATGTACCTCTCTAGTCCCCCCAGGGCCTGGACTGATTAACCCCAGCTTCTCAGGGAGCTTCCTGTGTCCTGCTGCTTCCCTGGACCCACTTGAGGAGAACAGGCCGTCAACTGAGCTTGAGATGAGAGTAAGGTTAAAGGCCACCATAGATGATCAGCATCAAGAGAAGATTGGATCAGAGTCTCTTTACTGGCAAAATGTTCTGAAAAGGCTCTTTGCCATTGTGAGAAAGCTTGCTACCCAAAGTCTAGCCCTGCGTGGCACTTCAGATCAGCTGTATGTGCCAAACAATGGAAACTTCCTTAAGATTGTGGAGCTGATGGCTGAGTTTGATGCTGTACTCCAGGAGCATCTAAGAAGAGTCACCACTCAAGAAATGTACAAACACCACTACCTTGGAAAAACAATTCAAAATGAGATTATACAGTCACTGGCAACAAAAGTCAAACAGAAGATTGGGGCAGATCTGAAGTCAGCAAGATCTTACTCTGTTATTCTGGACTGCACACCTGACATCAGCCATATGGAACAAATGACTTTAATGGAGCGTTTTGTAACAACAACAGAACCTAGTGACAATGTCCCTGCAATGGTGACTGTCAGAGCATTTTCTAGGATTTATTGACATTGATGATACTACAGGAGCTGGTATGACAAATGTGCTTCTTAAAAAGCTGGAAGAGACGGCAATTGCGATAGCTGAATGAGAGGTCAGGGCTACGGTAATGGTGCCAACATGAGAGGACAGAACAGAGCAGTGCAGACACGGATCCAAGAGTTAAACCCCTCGAGCTTTTTTTGTCCTGTTCAGTTCTCATTCATTGACCTTGGTGGTCAGCGATGCAGCATCAGCTTCTAGTGAGGCTGCTGAATTTTTTAATGTAATTCAAAGCATCTCTGTATTTTTCTCTGCATCAACTCATCCGTGGCAAATTTTGAAGCAACATCTGGGAAGATCCTCTTTGACACTGAGACCACTGAGTGCCACACGATGGGAAAGTCGAGTGGAGGCGATAAAGCCTATCAAACACCAAATTGGGAAGCTAGATGATGCCATAGTTGCCATTATGGAGGATAATGCTGTGACAGGAACTGTTCATGGGAGAACAGTGGCAAAGGGAAATGGAATCACCAGAAATATACATAACTTCAAATTTCTGTGTGGCTTAGTGTTGTGGCATGACATAGTGTTTGAAATAAATGTTGTAAGCAAGATACTCCAAGGTGTTGACCTTGATATATCTGGAGCAATGGAACAATTGGACAAAGCATAGTCATACCTACAGTCTTACCAGTCAGATGAGGGATTTCAAAACGTTCTGAAGAGTGCACAGAAGTTGGCAGAGAAATTTCACACTGAAGCGATTTTCCCACCCATTCAAGAATACAAGAGTCACCGAAGAAGACGACATTTTGATTAGGAGGCACGGGATAATCCCATAAGAGACCCCAAACAACAATTCAAAGTTGAATTCTTTAACCAGGTGCTAGATTGTGCAATACAGTCAGTTGAAGAACGTTTCCTGCAGCTCAAGGAACACAGCAGTACATTTGGGATGTTGTCTGATATTCCAAAACTCCTCACTATACCTGAAGAAGACCGACACCAGCAATGCAGGGCACTAGAGACAGTGTTGCACTTGATGACATGCGCGATATTGATGTGAGTGATTTAGGTGAAGAACCGAGAGCCCTTTCAAGATATATTTCAGCAGGTTCAACTCCAAGGGCTGTTCTGGAATATATGTGCACAAATAAGACAACCACCCTCTTTTCAAATGCTTTTGTTGCTCTGCGCATACTTCTAACCCTTCCTGTAACAGTTCCCAGTGGAGAACGCAGCTTCTCCAAGCTGAAGTTAATAAGAACACATCTACGCTCCACAGTGACACAGGAGAGGCTGGTTGGCCTTGCAACCATCTCAATAGAGCAGGGGCTGGCCCAGACTGTGGACCTTCAGCAGGAAGCAGTTCAAATCTTTGCAACCAAGAAGGCACGGAAAGCCCCACTTTAATTATTCAAACAGATACAAATGCCAGTGTTTACTCTGCAGACAAGGAAAGTTACATTTGCTGTTCAGGTGTTTGAAAGTTAAGTGTTACTTAACATTTTTGAACAAGGCATTTTAAGTTGTTAGTTCTCCTTTATTGGGGTAGGTAGCAGAGCAGTACCATGAGAGGAGTAGAATGGGAAGAAGGCAGAATGGCGACTTTTCAAAGTTTTGGCCCAAGCGAGGGGGTATGGGGGGGCGTCATGAGCTCCCTGCCTCAGGTGCCAAAATCTTGTGGGCCGGCCCTGGAACTGAGGGCTTGAAATGCTCCCCCAGGGCAGTCTGTGCAGAGCTGGGAGCTGACCCCAGGGCTCCCAAGAGCCAGGCTAGCGCTCTACCCACTGGCCCATGCTGCCTCTCTGAGGGGGAATACAAATCCTCAGAGGGAGGAGGCTCCCCCAAGCAGGGATTCAGAATCTCTTCCCCCAATGCCCGTTGGCTCCACTCTGGGCATAGCTCAGCTGTCTCGTTTCTTTATATGCTTTGAGAACCTCCAAATCGCCCGGCATGTGAGGCCATTCGGATCCCCACCTCACCGAGGGCTTTGCCGCCAGCTCTTGGAGGGGCGGCATGACCACCTGTGCGTCATAGGGAGGAGGTTGGGGGGCCTGTTACCCCACCCCTGTGCAGTCAGTTGCACCCACAGGCACTGACTTTTATTTTTCCCCATGGGTGGCGCACCCCCGCGCCACCCTGAGTCCCTGGCTCCACTCTGCCCCTTCCCCTGAGCCCCCTCCCTCTTCTCGCCCCTCCCCTGCCACCCTGCCCTTGATCCGCCTCTTCCTGCCCTGGCTCCGCCCCCGAGGCAGTCTGCCCTCTCCCAAACGCCACCGGCCAGCCGCAAAACAGCTGATCGGTGGCCCTGCCAAATAGCTCTGGCTGGTGGGTGCTGAGCACCCTTTCTTTTCCTGTGGGTGCTTGAACCCCGGTGCACCCACGGAGTTGGCGCCTTGTATTGCGTCCACCCTCTGCATGTGTCTGTGCTGGGAGCAGGCTGCCGGCATGTGGGGCAGATCCTGTGCTGTGGGAGCAGAGAGGGTCCCAGCGGGAAATCGGCACTGGGAAAGGCCCACACTAGGTCGGAGGAGGCCTAGCGCAGCTCGCCAGCCATAAGCCTGTGGAGAGGGCTGTGTGAGCGAGACCCACGTCAAGCTGGCCCCCAACCAACAGGCCAACAGTTCCTGGCCGCCAGGGGCCAGTCCTGGGCTTCCCATTGCCCCGAATGAAAAGGTTATAAGAGTTTGTAGCCTGCCTGCCCCCAGACCTCCGAACAGCCTCCGTGTCAGCTGTGTGCGGTGGCTGAGGGTCCGTTGGCTCGGCTGCTGACCTGGCTTTCAGCCTGCGGCACTGGGGAGCTGAGCTGCTGGAACCGGGTCAGGAGGTGGCTTGACTGGGGGATGAAGGGGTTACTTGGGAGCAGGTGGGTCGGTTAGTGGGTTGGGGGCTGGTGGGTAGGAAGTGGGCTAGGGGACTGGTGGGTCGGTTAGTGGCTTGTGGGGAGCTGGTGGGTAGGTTAATGGGTGTCAGGAAGCTTGTGGGTAGGTTAGTAGCCTGGGGGCCGGTGGGTAGGTTAGTGGTTTGTGGAGTGGGAATTGGGTGTTTGGTGACTATAGGTAGGTCAGTCTCTTGGGAGTGAAGAGTTGATTGCAGGTAAGTGGACTGGGACATTGGGTGGGGAGTTGGTGAAGTTGATGGGGCATGGCTGATGGGTCAGTTGGTTTCTTTGGGCCTGGGGATGTGGTGAAGGCTGGGTGAGGATCAGTTGGCCAGTAGGAAATAGAGGCCTTGGTGAAGGGCTGGTGGTCAGTCGTTCAGGATGGGGCTGGGGAGCTGGTTAATTGGGAGCTGATGGAAGGGTTGAGGCACTGGGGCGTTGGTTGGTGCTGGTTGGGAGGTTTGGGCAGCTGGAGAGTTGGTTGGTAGGTTCAGGGACGTGGGTGGATTAACTGTGGAGTTGGTTCGCTGGGAGCTGGTGAATGCATCGCAGGACAGGTTGGCGGGGGGAGGAGGGAATTGGTTAGTGTCGCTGTGTGGGCAAATTCATAGATTTGAAGGGACCGCTGTGATCAATTTATCTGATCTGTACAGCACAGGCCGTAGGGCTTCCCTGGATTCTCTTGCTTAAACTAGAGCAGATCTTTTAGAAAAACATCCAGTCTTGATTTAAAAATTGCCTGATGGAGAATCCACCATGCCTCCTGGTAAATTGTTCCATTGGTTAATCACCCTTCACTGTTAATTTGCTCTTTTGAATTTGTCTAGCATCAGCTTCCAGCCAGTGTATCTTGTTGGGGTGGGTGGATTGGGTCTGTTGGGTTGGTTGGGGTGGTGGGGTGTTGGTTGGTGGGGCTGGGGGGATGTTGGTTGGGGGGTGGGCTGGGAGGGATGGCAGGGGGGTTCGGTGGGTGGGTGACGGAGGCTGGGGCCAGGTGGGTGATTGGCAGGTGGGACGGGTGGGTGGGTGGCAGGGATCTGGATAGCTGGCTGATCATTTTTCTCAAGTTTTTTTTCCTAGGAGAGGGTGCCAAAGTGCTGAAAACCTTCAGCTCCCCGAAGCTGCTGCAGTCCAGAGGCTCACTGCGCGTACCTGGCACGTTGCCCCCCCCTCCGGCTCTTCCCGCTCTGCACTGCCCCCAGGGCCAGGGCGTACAGACAGAGTAAGGGCCTTCTGATTTTATTTTAAGTGCCTGTTCATCCCGCCTTGCCTGCCAGGTGAACTGCACTTTAGAGCTCCTTCAGCCCCTCTGGAGTGCACCCCCTGACCCCCTCGGAAGGGCAGAACCCTGTGACCCAGCCACCCTTGGCCCGGCACTGCCGAAAGGGGCAGCCACTTGTTTGCCTGCACTCGGGGTTTCTTCCTAACAAATGCTCTTGAGGACCAATAACCGACTGTGGCCAGAGGGAGTGTAAAGGCAAAGCAATCCGAGGAGGAGTCATGCACACCTCCAGCGGGTTCGCCTGACCTGCTTCGGAGAGACGCCTTTCTCTAGCAGTGCTGGCAGTCTGATTTACAGGCTGCAACACTCTTTGCACATCAGTGAATCCAGCTCACCAGCTTGTAACCAGCTCCACGTCCTGCGGCTACCCGGGGGCTCCAGGTTAGGCTGTCAGGTGGGGTGTGGTGGGGGCATCATGCTGGGTGAGGGCTCCAGGAGGCACTGGCATTGGGAAGTTGGAAGGGGTGTTTCCTGCCTCCTCTCACAGCTGCTCAGCTGGGTGTGGACAACAAGCAGCAGGCGAGTGCCAGACTGTGCTAGACAGACCCAGTCCCTCTCCTCATTCCGGCTCAGGTCCTGACATCTGGATTCCGATGGGGATGGGGCCCGTGGTGGGCTCAGAGCCAAAGGTGGCGGTGTCTGACTCACGGGATCCTTCCTGGTGCTTGAGTGTTACCTCACCCCACCGAGTACCAAGCACAAATCTCTGATGGGGAGAGCACAGGCGGTCTAGCGCCCAGCACCCCCCATGCCCACTCCTCCGGCAGCACCTAGAACGTCACCTGCTGCCCCCACAGCCCTGAAGCTGGTGCAGGCAGTGTGTGTAGGGGCCATGGGGGAGGAAATCCAGGCCTTCTACCTCCTTTTACTTAAAATGGCAAAGTTCAGTTCCAGAGCAGGGTGGGAATCCCCCACTCGCTGTCTACAGATGAGTTTCGGAGCGGAGCTGGAATTCCCCCTCGCTGTCTACAGGTTGGTTCTGGAGCGGGGTGGGAATCCCCCCTCGCTGTCTATAGGTTGGTTCTGGAGCGGGGTGGGAATCCCCCCTTACTGTTTATAGGTTGATTCTGGAGCGGGGTGGGAATCCCCCCTCGCTGTCTATGGGTCGGTTCCGGAGCGGGGCGGGAATCCCCCATTCGCTATCTACAGATGAGTTTCAGAGCGGGGTGGGAATCCCCCCTCACTGTCTATGGGTCGGTTCTGGAGCGGGGCGGGAATCCCCCCTCGCTGTCTATGGGTCGGTTCCGGAGCGGGGCGGGAATCCCCCATTCGCTATCTACAGATGAGTTTCGGAGTGGGGCGGGAATCCCCCCTCGCTGTCTATAGGTCGGTTCCGGAGCAGGGCGGGAATCCCCCCTCGCTGTCTACAGGTTGGTTCTCCTTTCCCATGAGGATTCATTTCGCTACTTGTCAAATGCGGTTAGGAACCTCCTGGTTCCTCCTTCCTGGCCCTCCAGGCATGGGGGTCAGTGCCCTCTGTAGGGGGGCGGGAGGCGCTGGCAGGCCGGGCTAATGGGCCCACAGGCGCCCTGAGCTAGCCGGCCTCGGGGACAGAAGTATGGGTACCGTGTTTCTGTGTTTGGAGGATGGAGGGCTTTGTCCAACACCCAGCTGACAGCGGCCCCTGGAGGTTTGCCGCAAGTCCTGGGCTTCACGCTGCGGGGCGAGGAGCCTCTCACCGCCGCGGGAGCCCATGGGTCTGAAATGGCACTGGGGGGCTCCAGTGCTCAGCAGGCCTGGGGGAGGCAGGGCAGGCGAGGGCATGAGGCCCAGCATGGCAGGCTCCCCATGCGGCTGGTGTCTGTGCCTACAGGAGCAGAGATGGTGGGGAGGCAGCCAGGCCGTTCCCAGCTGGAGAGCTGCAGCCGAGCGCGGAGAACACCCTTCGGGGGGGGCTGCCTTCACCCTCGCTGCCCTACCGCCGCCTCGCCGCTGCGTCTCCCGCACCCTCACTCGGCGACGACGGGGAGGCCGTGCTCACGCCCGACCAGGTGGCTGCATACCTGGAGCTCAGTGCGGAGGCCGAGTGCCAGAGGTAAGGGCTCCGGCAGGGCGCTTCAGCCAGGCCCGGAGAGGGCTTGGGAAACTGCCTGGGGCCCACACCAGGGAATCCCCTCCCCAGCCTGCTGCAAGGCCCAGCAACCTCTCGCCGCGCCCCCCCTCGTACCACACCCTCCCCATGCGCTACTGAGCAGGCTGCACCAGCAGCCGCCGAGCACCCTGCACGTCTGCCTGCACACTCGCCGAGCACCCTGCACACCCCCCGCACACTCACAGACTCCTGCACACTCACACAGACCCCTGCACACTCACACAGACACCTACACACTCAGACCCGCTCACTCACACAGACCCCTGCACACGTACACCCCTGCACACTCACATTGACACCTGCACAGCTGCCTGCACACTCACCGACACCTTCACAGTCACACAGACCCCTGCACACACACCTGCACACTCACACAGACACACCTGCCTGCACACTCACCCCACTTCCCTGCTTGCACACTCACCCACACATGAACAAACTTGCATTGGCACACTCAGCCCACTCCCCTGCTTGCACACTCACCCACACAAGCACACACGTGTCTCAAACTCACCCACTCACATACACCTGCCTGCACACACGCCCACACAAACACACACACACCTGTACACTCACATAGCTACACATGCACAAAGACCTGCACTCTCACACAAGCACACACCTGCCTGCACACATGTCTGCACAGTCACCCTGCATGCACACACCCATGTGCGCACTCACCCACAGAACCGCACCTGCACAAACACACAGCTGCCTGCACACTCACCCACATACACACGCACACACCTACATGCCTGCACACTCACCACCACAAACACACACACACCTGCACACAAACACACACCTACCTTCACACCCACCCACCCCTGCACACTCATACACACACACACACCCCACCCATCTCCTCAGCATCTCCCACTGGCTGGCTTCAGCGGCTCCCCACACAGCTGGCTGGCTTTTGGGGATCCCACACTTAGCTGCCCCTCTCTCCCCTGCATTGTAGGGGGAGCCTGGGCTCGGGGCTGAGGGTGTCACTAGGCAGCAGGGTGCCGGGGAGTTAACTGGTGCAATGATCACACCAAGCCCCCGGTGTGGAGCTAGCCTTGGGATTCCTGCTCTGCACAGCAAATGGGGGTGTAACCCCTGGCCCAGGGTGCCAAATCCCCCGCTGATCCACGGGCAGGGGGAGGGGTTTGCCCGCAGCGCAAGGATGAGCCCGTGTGCTCCAGCTGGGAGCCTTAGCGCTGTAAGGCTCAACAGGGTGTTTTAATGGGTTTATGTCATAGACGCCAGGGCCAGAGGGACCACTGTGGTCGTCTCGCCTGGCCCCCTTGCACAGCACAGGCCAGAGCCCTGCCCCAGACAATTCCTGGCGCAGATCTGCTAGAAAACAAGGCCGGCCGGATTTAAACAGTGTCTGTGATTGAAAAACAAAACCTACCAGCTGGTACATGGAGCCATACGGCTCTAAGGGGACGTCAGCCAGGACTCGAACCCCGCCCCATCAGACCCCCCTGCACACAGCCCCATTGCATCGAGCTACAGCAGGCTTCACAGCCCATCAGCTCTAGTGGAGGTGTCCCCCCATTTCAGTCACGGCTACACTCCACCAGCTGGGGTCACACCCTGCAGGTTGGACAGCTGAGAACATGTCAATAAGCTCGGGCTGGAACCTGGCCTCTGAATGGGCCCTGGGGAGCATGGGTGGGACCCTGGACCAGGTGTCACTGGGAAGTGCAGGGCTGGCTGTGAACCCCCCCAGGAGCGAGGCTTTGCCGCGGCAGGGATCGGAGCCCCCCAGGGAGCCCAGGCCCTGCCTTCTCTGCCCTGGGGCTGCGAGTTCCCTTCTAAGGCAACTGCCCACGTCAATGCCAGCTCCACGTTCTCGCTCCAAAGGCACCGGCAGGAGAGCACCTCCTCCGCCCCCTGGGCCTTCTCCCCCCCGCACACCTACGGCTACATCTGCGGCCCACTGCGTTCCGAGCTGGGGGTGGGGCCTGCCCCCGAAGAGGACGACGACCCCGCTGCGGAGGGGGGCGGCTGCCAGTCCATGCCCTTCTTGCGCCGGTACTGCCGGACGCCCTCGTCCAGCCGCAGCGAGGCCGAGGGCTCACTGGGCGGCTCCCTGCTCAACGGCTGGGGCTCGGTCTCCGAGGAGAACTTCACCAGCACGCGCTGCAGCCTGGTCAGCTCCTCCGACGGCTCCTTTCTCGTGGACGCCAACTTCGCCCGGGCCCTGGCCGTGGCCGTCGACAGCTTCTGCTTCGGGCTGAGCCAGAGCGAGGCTGAGCAGGCCTGCCCAGGTACATGGATCCCGCCCGTGCCCAGAGCCCGGGGGAGAGGCCTCAAAGCCCTTGCACTAGGCCCTGCTCTCTGCGCCAAGCCTTGGGTGCAGCTGGACGGGGGCAGGGGCAGGTTAATTTTCTGTTTGTCTTAGGACCGAGAATGCCAATCAAACCTTTGGCCTGCCCTGGAGAGGGGGCTGCAGATGTTAATTAATGGGGGCTCTGAAGAACCGCTGCACCTAACTCCTGGGAAAGTCACTGGGTGGGGAGGGCAACCCGGCTTCTGGGCCAAGCTGGCCAAGGCGTCCCCCAGCACCAGCCTCTGTGCCGGCCGGCAGAGTAGAGCAAGGTCTGGAATGAAATCCGTACCCTGGAGCTGACAGGGCTAGGGGATCATACTCCTCCAGTCAGCGCGGGGCTGTGCTGGCATCCCCTCCTCCTCCTCAGCCCCTGCCTGCACTATGGGGCCTCGGGCACACGGATCCAGCAGTGCAGCTGTGTGTGCCGGCACCCAGCACGGCCGCTCCTCTTTGCGGGGAGGTTGAATTTAGAGAGGACACTGGGGCCTGATTTTACACCCCCAGGCTGGCCAGGGCAGGTTGGGCTGGGCTGGTCCAGGACTCGCGCCCACTGGCAGGGCAGACACCTGCATGGCCATTGCACTTGTCTGGCCCTATGCTGCAAATCAGCGTCCCGGTGGCTGGCAGCTGCAGCCTGGGGATCCCTGCTTGCCCCCACAATAGGGGCACTTCCCTGGGGAGGGCAGGGGGATTGTTCAGACACAGCCTCCCCATTGCATTACAGCCAGTGCCCTGCCCTGCGTGACCAGTGTGGGCAGGTTTCTGTCTGCCCAGCTTTGGCGGGCGCCTGAGGGACGTCGGTTCTCAGGGGCTGGGAATTCTGGTTCTGATGCCCCAAGCGGCATTGACTCACCTCCCAGAGCACATGGCTCTGCCCGGCCAGCCGAATCGCTGCTCATGTAGTAACCCACTGCTAGTGTGACCCACACAGCTCCTGGGTGTGGGGTTCTGACCCATCCGGTGGCACCGAGACCACTTAGAGAGAGAGATTAATGAGTCTGCTCCACACCCTTAGCTACCAGCCAGCTAGCTTTTAGCTCACGCAGTAGAGGCTCATGCATTAAGCTCCAGGGGTCCCTGGTTGGATCCTGCTTGCCGACGACTGGGGGTGAGGGACTCTCAGGTACCAACATGCCCCTCACTGAGGGCAGGGGGCTCTCAGGTACCCATGTGCCCTTCACCGAGGGTGGGGAACTCTCGGGTGTCCACATGCCCCTCACCAAGGGCGGTGGGCTCTCGGGTACCTGCGTGCCCCTCACTGAGGGCGGGGGGCTCTCGAGTACCCACGTGCCCCTCACTGAGGGGGGGTCTCGGGTGCCCACGTGCCCCTCACCGAGGGTGGGGGGCTCTCGAGTGCCCACATGCCCCTCACTGAGGGCGGGGACTCGGGTGCCCGGGTGCCCCTCACCGAGGGCGGGAGGGCTCTGCAGGGTGTTTGATGCGCTGAGCTCAGCCATGCCCTATGGCGCCCACGTGTACACGGCTCACACCTCATCCACAGGCAGCTGTTCTCCAGGAGCCCAGCGGGAACCAGCTGGGCTGGCTCCTCTCCGGGCTGCTTGCACCTGGTCCAACTGAAACAGCTTCGCTGGCCCAAGGTGCCGCTCCTCCAGCCGCCAGCGCCCGCTGCAGCCCCAGCCCTGTGCGTCACTCGCAGCCTTGCTCCAGCACGGCTGCCACTCGGCCTGCACTGTGCCTGGTGGGCAGAGCCAGAGCTGGCCCCAGGGCGCGGCTGGATGGGAGCCAGAGGGGTCCGCAACACCGGGGGGGGGGGCGGCAGGAGGCTGCTGTAGACCAGGGGCCCTGCAGGAAGCTGCAAAGGGAGCAGGCTCTGAGGAGAGGCCTGGCTGCCTGAGGTCCCAGCACCGTGGATGGGACACCAGCCCCGCGCGGTCCAGCGACGTGGAAATGAGGCCAGCCCCTCGCACCACTTCTCAACTTTTAAGGAAAAACCACTAGCAGAGAGAGGCCACCTGCCCTGGGCTGGGGGGGCCACGTGAGCGAGCGCGGCCCTGAGGCCAGACCTGAACAGGCCTGTCCCCGTTCAGTGGCCAGGCGTCAGGGTCCCGCCCGTCCCTGCTCTGAGAAGCCCGTGCCCTGGCAGCCCGTGGAGTGGGCTCTGATCTCTGCTCCACCCGCTGAACACTGGCCTGGGAATGGCCTGGCCCTTCGTCCCGCGCTGCTCAGCCCTTCTTCTGCGCCAGGGTCACCCCTAGTGATGGTGGGGAGCGGCGTGGGGCCAGCCCGGGGGTCCCTGGGGTCACCGACTCGCGCCCACCCCCTCCCTGAGCCTCTCAGCGTAACTCGGGGGTTGCTTTTTCCCACAGACTTCTCGCCGCCCGCCTCCCCGCTGGATGGGCTCCTTCCCCCTCCCGAGCGGTGGGAGGGCGCGGCATGGGCTGGAGCAGAGCCCCTTCCCCTGCCCACCTGGGAGTGGGGCACTGGCTGGCTGGAGGAGATGGAGGCCAAGTACTCCCAGAGGCCCGAGGGGACTCCTGCCGCTGAGAAGCCGGAGGGGAAGGCAGCACTGAACAGGACCCGGACCCGCCCTGCCCCTGGGCCTGGGCCAAACGGCAAGTGTTAGTGTCCATGCTGCCTGGCACGGGGCGAGTGGGACGCTGGTGGGCCGGCCTGCCCTGGCATTGCAGCCCTGCATCCTCCCCAGCCAGGGGAGCCCAGGCCCCACCCGCCGGGCCGCTCCTGGGGCCAGCCACATGCACCATGGTGCCCGAGGGTGGCCTTAGCCTGCTCGGGCACTGCGCTCTCTGGGTAGCCCTGGACTCGCCCCCTCCTGGGCAGCACTTGGCCAGGAAATCAGCCAGAGCCCTTAGCGTCCCTGGGCCCTTCAGGGCACGTCTACACTGAGACCCTGTGGCTGGCCCCTGCCAGCTGACTCGGGCTGCGGGGCTGTTTCATTGTGGTGTAGACGTTCAGGAGCGGGCTGCAGCCTGAGCTCTGGGTCCCTTCCTCCTGGCATGGTCCCAGAGCCCGGGCTCCAGGCCTTGCGCCCACGCTGGGGCTGGAACAGGTTCCTGTCATCTGCAGAGCTCCCTGTGATACACACCAGCGGGCACACAGTGCCTAGGCGAGGAGCCAGCCAGGCCAGACACAGGAGCACCCTCCACTCACCCCTAGAGCAGGGGCTGGGAGCCACCAAGGTTCATAGGGAGCACCGAGAAAAAACCGCTGGGAGACTCCCCAGGAGAGAAGGGAGATAGTCCTGGAGCCCGCTTCTCCCAGCAGCTAGGAAAGGGAGGGGAGTTCCCCACCTAACCCAGGAAAAAGTCCCCAAACAGCCCCCTCCGGCGACCCCCTTGGATAAGTGCCCCAGCCCCTTCCTGCTACCAAACGCCCTCTGCCCCATACCGCTCCCAAATGTGAATGCCAGCCTCAGGGCAGACTGATAAAAACCCTGGGCACAAACCCCTGAACTTCGAACCAACCAACTGCCCCAAGTACAAACTGCCCCAGCACTCTGACAGCCTGAACACGGAGCCCCGCCAGCCCTAGGGTACTCCGCTCCGGCTTGCCACCCATGGGAACGTATCGCCCTGACAGGTGACCCTTCCAACCAAGAATCACAGCAATAGTCAGATACCCACTTGCCCCAGGCCGATTGCACGTTAGGTCTCACACCAAGGACAACGCTTGTGGCCAATCCTCTAATAAACTGTATGAAGATTTATTACCTAGGAGAAGAAAACTAGAGAGTTATTTACAAGGTTAAAGCAAGCAAATAGAGACACACCAATGAGGTATTAGGATATTAGGAAAAACTTTTTCACTAAGGGGGGGGGAAAACCCCGGAGGGCGTTCCCAGGGGGGGGGTGAATCTCCCTTCCTTTAAAGGTTTTATGTTCGGCTTGGCCAAACCCCGGCGGGGGGGGTTTTAATTGGGATGGGTTTGGTTCTGGGGGAGGGGGGGGGTTGGGATCCCTTTTGGGCTCCCTTCCCCCCCTTATTTTTTATTTTTTTATTTTTTAGGTACAGTCTTGGCTTTCACAGTGTAACAAAGGCGTCTATAATCAGCAAGTTCTATTGTCCTTTAGGGCTAACCCAGGCTAAGCACTGGGGATCCCTTGCTTATGCCTAGGAAACTCCTTCCTCCCTCTCCCGCCCCCAAGTCCAAGCAGCACAGATACCTAGTTCCTTTTCTCTGGGGGGCTTATCCCCCTCCGGCCATGTGCTCTCCGCTGCAAACTCAGCTGGTGGAGGAGTCCACTCGCATGCCTCATCTTTACGGGGAGGAGAGCAGGATGGGGAGCGCTTCGTTTCTCAATCCGGATGTAGGCGTTTCCAGTTGTAGGCTCCCGCCAGAGCCTGTCTGGTATCGCTGGGTCTCCTCCCTCAGGAGGGGGTGCAACAACTTCCGCAGAAGAGCAGCTCGTCACACTAATTAGTGGCCTCTCCGGTATGGCGATTCCTTGAGGCTCACCCTCCACCCGCTCCAATTGTGTGGAAGACAGATCAATGCAGGCTGCAACTACCAGGCATTCACTGGAGGCCAACCACTAAACATAGAATCATAGAATCATAGAATCATAGAATATAAGGGTTGGAAGGGACCCCAGAAGGTCATCTAGTCCAACCCCTGCTCAAAGCAGGACCAATTCCCAGTTAAATCATCCCAGCCAGGGCTTTGTCAAGCCTGACCTTAAAAACCTCTAAGGAAGGAGATTCTACCACCTCCCTAGGTAACGCATTCCAGTGTTTCACCACCCTCATAGTGAAAAAGTTTTTCCTAATATCCAATCTAAACCTCCCCCACTGTAACTTGAGACCATTACTCCTCGTTCTGTCATCTGCTACCATTGAGAACAGTCTAGAGCCATCCTCTTTGGAACCCCCTTTCAGGTAGTTGAAAACAGCTATCAAATCCCCCTCATTCTTCTCTTCTGCAGGCTAAACAATCCCAGCTCCCTCAGCCTCTCCTCATAACTCATATGTTCCAGACCCCTAATCATTTTTGTTGCCCTTCGCTGGACTCTCTCCAAATTATCCACATCCTTCTTGAAGTGTGGGGCCCAAAACTGGACACAGTACTCCAGATGAGGCCTCACCAATGTCGAATAGAGGGGAACGATCACGTCCCTCGATCTGCTCGCTATGCCCCTACTTATACATCCCAAAATGCCATTGGCCTTCTTGGCAACAAGGGCACACTGCTGACTCATATCCAGCTTCTCGTCCACTGTCACCCCTAGGTCCTTTTCCGCAGAACTGCTGCCTAGCCATTCGGTCCCTAGTCTGTAGCTGTGCATTGGGTTCTTCCGTCCTAAGTGCAGGACCCTGCACTTATCCTTATTGAACCTCATCAGATTTCTTTTGGCCCAATCCTCCAATTTGTCTAGGTCCTTCTGTATCCTATCCCTCCCCTTATCATCCTTATCATCCTCAGACCTGTTTGCTCAGTATTCACCCCCATGTGAGCTACAGTGATTCCAGCCCTGGATCTATCAGTGTCCAGTAGAGACATGGGGACCCTGGCATGAGCTGGCACCTGGCCTGCCAGCATCACTCCCCTCCCCCACCTGTCCAGCCTCACACACCTGCATGCTTCAGTGAGCAGGTGAGATGCTCGGGCGAGAGACGGGTGCCGGCTCCAGGGCAGCCTGCTCCCCCCCGCCCCCGGCAGCCACACTGGAGCCTCGCCTCGCTGGGCTGGGGGTTGACAGCGAGGGCAGCGGCAGGAAAGAAGCTAGCCTCTTCCTCTTAGTGATCACTGGCACCTTGTCCCATCTCATGCCGGCCTGGCCTTAGGAGTGGCCACGCTGGAACAAGCCAGTGAGCCCACCAGGCCAGGCCTCCCCGGGCTGGGACACTGGCCCGGCCAGCTGATCTGGAGGCAGGTGCAAATTTTAGTGAATTTTGGAATAACCTGCCCTGTGGGACGCTTCTCCCCAGCCCTGTGCAGCGTGGGCTGGGGGCGGGCAGGCTCCCGAGGGACTGGTTCAAGCAGAAACGCACCCTGGGGCTCTGGGTGCAGCTCAGGGATGCCAGCTCCACACAAAATAACCTGGACTTGCAAAGCCTCTGGTGGCCTCGTCCCTGCCCTGGCGCTCCACAGCCCAGCCCCCCCACATTGCCCCCAGCCAGACTGCCACTCCCCACAGAGCCTGTCCGTCCCTGGGGCACTGCACTGGACTGCGTGCAGTGATTAGCTCCCAGAGGGAGCTGGCTCTGAGTCCCAGGATACTGGGGGAGGTGACTGGCTGATATGGGCACCCCTTGGGGTGAGGGTGAGGCAAGCGGGTGGGGTGCCTGGGGAGGGGAGGTGAGGCTGTCTCCTGGCCCCGCTGCCCTTGGTGTGTCGCTGAGTGCTCTGTGCAGGTAATAGGACAGACCCGGCCCTTCCAGCCCCTCAACCTGCAGATTTGCCTCTGGGCACTCCCCTGCCCTGTGCCAGCTGGAGATGCCATGGCGCTGCGTGGCAAGCCCGGCCGTCGTGCCCATCTCGCAAGGAAACAAGCTCGTTCGCCAGGGGCTCAGAGTGCCCCTTGTCATCAGCGCCTGACTCCCAAACAGGCCAGCGGGTTTCTTTCCTCTGAGCCCCACTGGGCCTTGACTTGGGAACACAGTACAAACGGTCTCCTTGTGAAGAAGGAAAATTCCCCTTGTCCCCTCGGGAGGGGTTGCTCTGCCCAGGGCTGGGGTCCCCATGCCAGGCCTGGTCTGCCTGTGGACGGCGGAGTGACACTCTGAGCCTGCTCGGCCCCTGCTGCTCGCTGTGCGTAAAAGGTGATTCCTTTCCAGGTGCCTGCATGTCGGAGTCCAGCAGCCCTGCTGCGGGGGCGGTGGGGGAGTGCCAGGCCCCCTGCCCTGCTGCCCACAGTCCCATGCCAAGCAGCTCTGCCATTCCCAGGAAGGGGGAGACGACCAGGGTTGCTCTGCAGCCGATGGATGCGGGGGCGACAGAAGTCCAGGCGTAGAAAGCTGAACACGTTCTGTACCAGGCGGGCACGACGTCTGGGATGCCCAAAGCCCAGGGAGACTCTTGGGGCACCGTGGGCCTGAGGGCGAGCGCTCGGCTACTACTGAGCCCACCCCCGGTGCCTGCTAGACACGCCTGGCTCCTGGTCATTGACAACAGCATCCCTGATGGAAGGCCGTTGCCGCTTCCCCCAACGTGGGCTGCGATCCCATGGGAAAAGGATTCCCCAGCCTGCCCCACACGCTGAGGGGGAGCATTCACCAAGGGCCAGGCAGATGGGGCAGTGCAGAGCCCTCGCCGAGCTCCACACCAGTCGCGTGCAGGAGAGGAGCCATGGCCAGCAAACGTTGCCTCCTTTTCTCCGGAGTGCCTGGTCCCTGGCAGGACTTCTCCCGCTGCCCCACTCACAGGCTGGCGCGCCATGTGGGGGCCAAGCCGGGATTCCTGCTGTTGGCTTCAGGGCCGATCTCTGCTCCGTGACGCTGTCTGGGGCACTCGCCAGCGTGGGCTTTTCCTGGGTCACACGGGGAACCCCCGGGATTTGGAGGCCCTTGCAGCTGCTGTCAGTTTACAGAAGCCTGCATTTGCTGCCCAGGTTGGAGCTGAGAGCCTGGCGGCTCTGCCCACCCAGCTGGGTTCACCACACTCAAAGCTGGGGGTTGTTTGGCAATTGCCTGTTACGGTTTGGTCAGGTCTGCCCTGGGCAATGCTCTCAGCTCTGCAGGGGCACGAGCCTTGAAGCGTTTAATATTTCCTTTAATGGCTGTTGTGAGACGTTTTCCGGACCTGCCTGATTGCCCAGTGTTGTGGCCTTATTCCTGTAAATAAAGAGAGCTTTTCCAGCGAGCTGATGGCCGCTGAGTCATGCTCTTCATGGCGCCCAGCGAGCCCCGGGGGCCACCCACGGGGCACGGTGTTAGCACCCCAGGAGCCCTCCAGAGCCTGGGCATCGCGCTGCAATGAAAGGCGCAAAAAAAGCAGCTGAAAACAAACTCCTGACAGCTGCAAGGTCTATCGGAGAGCATGCGGGGGGGCTTGATTTGCCTCAGCACGTGTCGTTCCCGCCCGTTGGCATGTCTGCCCTCGGCTCCTGTATGGCCAGCGTGCAGGGAGCCTGTACTCCGCAGGCTCTGCGTGTGGTGGGCCCCTCCTCCGCAGTCACTGCGAGCGAGTGAGCAGCCCTGCGGGCCTGGCAACGTGCTCTGAAGCTAGGCAGATACCCGCTGCAGTGGCTCTGTGGGTGTGAGATCCCCTCGAGGAGTTAAATCACCCTGGTCTAGCAGGCCAGCATGCAGTGATGGTGTCTGGAAAGCCAGCCACCCAGGCCCGGCTGCAGCTGCCTGCTGCCCTCCTGGAGCACCCGTCCGGGGCTGGGGACAGGGTTACTAGCCAGGCCAGAGATCAGGATGTGGTAAGAGCCACCCAGGGTGCCCAGGCTTCTGTGGGGAGCCCCAGATCCGCCACCTGCCCTGGGTAGGGGGCTGGAGTGCCCAAGAGCAGCCTGTGGCCCATGTCCCCACCCCCTGAGGGCAGGTGGGGCATTGCTCTGGCCGCTCCGGTCCCCAGGCCATGTCGCTGCCTGGCAGCCACGCTCAGGACGGGTCACGGCGCACGTTGTCCCACATGCCCCAGCCCTGGGCACGAGTTGCTGTGCCCCTGAAACCAGGCACATGTAACTGCCCCAGGAGCTGGGCTTTGGGCGAGCGCCCTGCCACTGCTCGAGCGCCAGCTCTCTGGGTGAGGCCTCTGCCAACACCTGGCCCCGCAGCCATTCCCTGCGACTGGGGCCATGCGGCGAATCCCTGCGGCTCCAGGTGGAGCCGGGAGGCAAGCTCCCCTCGGCATTGCAATGGGTGTGTCTGGGGCAGGGTGCCTGGACCCTGCCATCAGCGCGGGGCGCTGCAGAGGGAGAGGGGGCTCTATGGTTATGTCGTCACAGCATTTTGGAGCATGCCTCCCAGCCCGGGTCAATAGACTCGGCGAATGCTCTAAGCACAGCTGTGGACAGCACCTTGATGGTGTGGCTTGGCCTGGGGGGGGGGGAGGGGACCAAGAGGCCCGAGGCAGGTTGAAGCGCTGGCAGGGAGGCTCGCTCCTGTGCAGGGCAGACGAGTCCCAGTGTGGCCAGCGCCGGTGTGTGCCCCATCCGCGGCAGGTGTATGGCACACGGCTCAGCCCGCTCCCCAGGTACGGTGCAGACAGCCTGGCTCAGAGCACCATCGCCCTGGGCTGGGATGAGCAGAGATCGACACTGTGTGATCAGAGTGGCCTGGAGCCAGGGGACCTGCAGCCACAGCCAGGCCGCTGCACGTCTGCCCTGCTGCTGGGAGAGTCAAACGCACGGTCCCAAGCCTGGCAGCGTCTCCAGGGACCCGACTACCCTCCCCAGCCTGGCTGCCTGGGCAAAGCCACGCACTGCTGTATGGAACCCGCACACGTCACCTCAGGGTCGCCCAGGCCCTGCGGAAGTCAGGCAGGCTCCATGCAGGGCCAGCCCAACCGCCCCGGGGAGCGACTGCCTCTGCTTTGCCACGTGCATGCAGTGGGTGGGCGGAGAGCCAGGGCTGGCAGGGTTATCGGGGCTCCTGACAGGCTTCCGGCTGGACTGTGAACAGGGCATGGGCACACAATCATCAGCCTTTGTGCCCTGAGTGCGATTCGGACCCTTTCCCTCTAGGCCTTTGGAGACAGCACAGCTGGGCAGGGGCCGGGCGCAGCCAGAATTCTAGGCTGCTTTTGTTATGTTTCCTCCGCCCCTAGAGAGAAAACAGTGGGGAGTCTGGTGGGCACTTACTGATGGTCTGAGGAGTCTCGCTGGGCTGGGAAATCTGTCCTTTGGTGCAGTCCTGCTGGTAGGGCTGGGTTAGCCATGCCCAGATGGGTGAGTCCTGCCCTGGCATGGCGGGGAAATGCCACCCATCCATCCCCAGCACTAGTCAGACATGTCTATTGATGGGAGCCCGCTGGGGTGTGAACACCAACATGGTAGAGTGGTACACTCACCTACATGCAAAGTCCCAGACGGTGTCTTTCCGAGTGGTAAAGCCCCAGTGCAGAAGGTGGCTGGCAGATCAGGTGGGTGGCATCCAGTCTGCTGGGTACACAACACCCCTGAGCAGGGGCGTAAGAAACGAGGGAGTTCTCCTAGTTTGCCCATTAGCTCTCCTCTCCCTTGCTGTTCCTGATGGACTGCGAGTGGCTGGGGGGCGCGAGGGTGGGGGATTGTTACTCTGACTGCTCCAAAGACGCTGGACTTCGTTAACTCACGCACCACTAACTGCCCAAGCCAGTGTGCAGGCCACAGCCCGAGTCAGGCAGGAATGACCCTAGCGCCCGGACACTCCTCTGGGGAAAAACCACTGTTCTGAAAACACCAACCAGACTTTATCCGTCAGTGAAGAGGCAGAACCAGCCCCAGCTGGGTTCTTTGCAGGGCACCTTTGAAACCACCCGCTGGCCACAATAAACATAGTCTAACGCCTCCTGCCGTGTTGGCACCCACCTGCCCTTAGCCATCGTAACCCCGTATCTTAACCCCCCCGGCTCTGCCCAGCGCCCCCACACTAGCCTGTGGTGCCCAGCCTGGCCCTGCTGTGACCACTGGGAATCTGCCTGTACTCATTCTGGTTGCGGCACAGCCGGTGAGGAGCAGCAGGAGCTGAATGGGGCGGCAATGTCTGCAGCTGGCTGTGCTTTGAGCCCAGTTTCCCAGCCCCTGGAGACCGCAGCGCAGAAGGGCTGGCAGTCCAGTTGTGCTGTCCAGCCCAGGGGATTAGAACTGATGCAGAGGGAGAAGGAACTGGGGAGGAAGGCGGCCGGGCCCCCCATCGGTGCAGGACTGGGGGGTGTCCCAGGAGAGACGAGGAGCAGAGGGGAGCCCCAGCACCGCGGGCACTGTTCATTGCAGGGAGCTGAAGCAGGCTGCTGCCTGGGGTGGGAGCTCAGGCGTGAGGCGGGCCTGGCCTGTCGGTGCTCGCTCCGTGTTCCCAGCGCAGCCAGCCGAACGGAGATGGATCCCCGGCACCTCTGCTGGCAGGCCCAGCCTGAGCCGCGGCCCCCTCGCCCAGCCCCCCCAGCCCCGCTGCGTGTGCTGGGGCTCAGTGACCTTCACTTCACCTCCCGAGTCACTCGAACAGCCCTGCCCGTGTGAGAATCAATCGCGCTGCTCCTGGGGCGATCGATGGGCTGGGTGCTGGAGTGAGAGCAGGTCCTCCGTGAGTGGTGATGCCTGAGTGCGGCAGCCACTTCGGAGCGTTAGCGAGCGCACTGATAACATCTGCAGACAACACCACGCTGGGAGGGGCTGCAAGCGCTTTAGGGGGATAAGATTAAAATTCAAAGTGATCTGCACAGACTGGCAAAATAATCTGAAGTAAACAGGATGAAATTCAATAAGGACAAATGCAAGGTACTCCACTTAGGAAGGAGCAATCAGTTGCACACGTACAAAATGGGAAATGACTTCCTAGGAAGGAGTCCTGCGGAAAGGGATCTTGGGGTCATAATGGATCACTAGCTAAATATGAGTTAACCGTGTAACGCTGTTGCAAAAAAAGTGAACATCATTCTGGGATGTATTAGCAGGAGTGTTGTAAGCAAGACACAAGAAGAAATTCTTCCACTGTACTTCACACTGATTAGGTCTCAGCTGGAGTATTGTGTCCAGTTCTGGGCACCACATTTCAGGAAAGATGTGGACAAATTGGAAAGTCCAGAGGAGAGCAACAAAAATGATGAAAGGTCTAGAAAACATGACCTATGAGGGAAGATTGAAAGAATTGGGTTTGTTTAGTCTGGCAGAGAAGACTGAGAGGGGACATGATAACCATTTTCAAGTACATACAAGGTTGTTACAAGGAGGAGGGAGGTAAATTGTTCTCATTAACCTCTGAGGATAGGACGAGAAGCAATGGGCTTAAATTGCAGCAAGGGTGGTTTAGGACATTAGAAAAACTTCCTGTCAGGGTGGTTAAGCACTGGAATAAATTGCCTAGAGAGGTTGTGGAATCTCTGTCACTGGAGTGTTTTAAGAGTGGGTTATACAAACATCTGTCAGGGATGGTCTAGATAATACTTAGTCCTGCCTTGAGTGCAGGGGACTGGAATAGTCCTGTGAGTCTATGATTCTCTGATTCCCCTTCCTGGACTGCAGGGCCAGACTCACCACCTGGCATGGGGCAGCCGGGCAGAAATTCATAGAGTCTAAGGCCAGAAAGGACCACTGTGACCATCTAGTCTGAACCCCTGCATAGCACAGGTCAAAGACCTGCCCCACAATAAGGCCTAGCGCAGAGCTTTTGGAATAAAAGCCAATGTGGATTTAAACATTGCCTGTGATGGAGAATCCACCACGACTCTTGGGAAATTACTCACTGTCAAAAATGTATGCCTTATTTCTAGTCTGACTGAGTCTAGCTTCAACTTCTAGCCATGGGAACGTGTTAGACCTTTCCCTGCTGCATTGAAGAGCCCCTTAGTCAATATTTGTTCCCCATGTAGGCACTTATAGACTGTGATCAAGTCATAGAATCATAGAATATTAGGGTTGGAAGAAACCTCAGGAGGTCATCTAGTCCAATCCCCTGCTCAAAGCAGGACCAACACCCACTAAATCATCCCAGCCAGGGCTTTGTCAAGCCTGACCTTAAACCTCTACAGATGGAGATTCCACCATCTCCCTAGGTAACCCATTCCAGTGCTTCACCACCCTCTTAGTGAACTAGTTTTTCCTAATATCCAACCTAGACCTCCCCCACTGCAACTTGAGACCATTGCTCCTTGTTCTGTCATCTGCCACTACTGAGAACAGCCGAGCTCCATCCTCTTTGGAAACCCCCTTCAGGTAG